CTCTCTCGCACCCCTACGGACCGCGACGCGAGTGCGAGAGAGACAGCGCTGGCTGCAGCAACACGCGGCCCAGCTGCCGGGCCTTGCTTGGAAGCGGAGCAGCTCGGCGCCGAGGCCTTTGCCGCCACAGCTGCCGGCTGGACGCTAGTTGCGAAAACGCGCAGCGCGCCCTGCGCCTTCGTGTGAAATCGCCTCACGCAGCGGGGCGTGGCGGGGGCGGGGTGGGCGGGGCGGGGCGGGGCGGGGGCGGGGGCGGGGCGGGGTGCGGCGGCGAGCAGTGCCCCGCGGAGGCACACTGCATCGCGTATCGCACTAAGATAATAAAACGAGAGCAGCGCGCATCAGCGGAGAAAAGGGGAAAACTCGCAGTGAGGCAGCGACACACACACACACACAAACGCACACACACGTGGAGCAGGGAGGCAGCAGAGCAAGGAGAGGCTGGGCAGCGCGGCGGGCAGCGCCGAGAAGGGCACAGCGCACCACAGCGCCGCGACAGAAGAAAAGAGGGCGGGGCGGGGCGCGCTGCACCAAACAAGGGAAGGGACAGCAAGGTGAGAAGAGCGCGGAGAAGAAAGAGGACGAAGGAGGAGAAGAGAGGCAGCGCCACCCACACTCCGGCCGACTGTCGGACTCCGTCGACTCGGTCCCTGCAACGCCTGCACCGCAGTGCAGCGGTGCAATCACAGCCACGGTGCCATGACGGCAAAAGGGAGAGACGGAAGGGACAAAAGAGAGATTACGGAGGCTTGTCCAGGCTTGTCCAGACGGCCTGGTCTCCTCTCAGGCCACTCAGTCCCTCGGGACGTGGAACTTCTCCTCCAGCACGTCTCCCGCCCCGCCGTTTTGAGTCCCTCGTAGATGTGTCTCCAGGCCTCGTGCTGCCAGCTTGGTCCAGGCCTTTCCTCAGAAGAGCTCTTCCAGAGGAGAGTCGGAGCAGATGGCTCATGACGAATTCGCCAAGGAAATACCGTCAACGCACAAAGTGCTAGAGGACTGGTGCGGCCGAAACTCCAGACGCGTTTGAAGCTCCAGCAGGACTCGAACCGAACGTGTGACCCCCACCAATGGCTTTCTCGATCGGAGAGCAATCCATTGGTGGGGTCACACGTTCGGTTGGAGTCTCATTCAGCGACTCTGGAGCTCAAAACGCGTCTTGAGTTTTGGCCGCCTCCGCGGCAGCCTCGGCAACCAGGCCAGCCAGCGCGGTGCAGTGCGTATCGCGGCTGGCTGGGCCGGCCGCAGCAGCACAGAGGCGCGCGGCCCTGCAGCCGGATATCCGCCTCCGAGCATCCAGCCAGCAAGCCAGACAGCCAGCCAGCCCCGCCACCGCCCCGCCACACCCTCGCCCGGCCCGCCCAGCCAGGGGCCCTGCACCGCGCAGCACAGCAGCCAGCCCAGGAGTTTCGCACACAAAAAAGATACGTGCCGATGCCGTCGAAACAGGGGATGAGGCCCGGCCCCCGCCCGGCCCCCGCGACACCAACAACACCGTCCCGCACAGTGGGCCAGAAGACCGGTGGAGGCGGCCAAAACTCCAGACGCGTTTTGAGCTCCAGAGTCGCTAAATAGGACTCGAACCATACGCGTGACCCCACCAATTGATTCCTCGTTCGGAGAGCAATCCATTGGTGGGGTCACACGTTCGGTTCGAGTCCCATTCAGCGACTCTGGAGCTCAAAACGCGTCTAGAGTTTTGGCCGCCTCCGCCCACTGTGTCCCGCCGACCCGACCAGGACCCCCAACAAGAAACGCGCGCCGGGCGGCGAACCCGGGAACGAATAACCCAAACTACTTCCAGACTGGCAAACTTGGCGCGAGTAGCAAAGTCGTAAACAATAAGACCCGTGGGGCACGGCGTGGCACGGCGCGGCACGGCCCGCAGCGCGCAGCAGGGCCTGACTGCGAAAAGCCTTGTCGCCGCTGTCTGTCGCACTCATGGGGCGTCCCGTCGGAGTGCGATAAAGACAGAGCGACGAGGCGATACATCCTTCAGTTTCAGTTTGAGGCGCCAGGGCCGAGGCGAGGCGCCGTCGTGGAGGGAGGCATTTGGGCTCCACGGCGTCGCCGCGCGTCGCCGTCGTCAGGGTGTCGTCAGGCACGTCCCATCTGGGCGCCGTCGACAAGGGCAGCGGCCAGATGCCGCTCAACAACAACAAGCACTACTACATGGTGGCGGCCGCAGCGCACCGAGAGTCGCTTTCGTCGCTCTGTCTCTCTCGCACCTACGGGGGGCGCCCCGCGAGTGCGAGGGAGACAGCGCGACGAAAACGACTCTCGGAATCAGTCTGCTGCTCAGTCACGGCGACACGCTTTGCTTATAAGGAGAGGACACTCCACCGCCACCGCCACGGCAGGGCGAGCGGGGCATCGCGGGGGAGGGGGGAAGGCAAGCCCCAATCCCTGCAGCAACGCCCCCCTCGACTCAAGCACGCGACAAACAACGTGCATTCAGCACAATGGAGCTCGCCGAGCTCGGCCCCAAAGCTGGGCTGGAGCCGCTGGAGCTGGAGCGAGAGAGAGAGGAAAAGGGGGGGGGGGGATGTTGTATGGCTTACTAATTGCAGAGCAGCGCAAAGTACTCTGGCCAGCTACGTCCTGCGTCAGTCGATGGAGAGGGGCGGGAGGTGGGGGGTCATCGCGGGGCTCAGCGGGGCGCATCTTCACGCTCCGTGCCCCGACCGCGCTGGCCGCGCTGGCTGGCCAGTGGCGTGGCCATACTACAGTGTCCGCGTCACCGCGTCCAGGGTCGGGCCCATACGAGGAGAAGGGCAGTGGCGTAAGTCCGGTGCACAGTGGGCCAGAAGAGTGGTGGAGGCGGTCAAAATCCCGGACGCGTTTTAAAAGCTCCAGAGTCGCTAAACCGATTTGAACCGAACGTGTGACCCCTCAATGGATTGCTCGATCTCTAAAAGAGGCATCCACTGATGAGGTCACACGTTCGCTTCGAGTCCTTTTCAGCGAATCTAGAGCTCAAAACGCGTCCAGAGTTTTGGCCGCCTCCACCGGTCTTCTGGCCCACTGCGCGCTGCCCACGACACGAAGACAAACATCATCCCATCTCTTTCAGAAAACGAGTCAGAGGAGCGGTTTGTCGCTCCGTCTCGCTCGCGGCCCGCATGGAGAGCCCCAACGAGTGCGACGGGGGCGGAGCGACTCTCCTGAATCGCTCGGCAGAAAACACCTCTGCAGCGGTTCGGCGAGGGATCGGCGCAGATCCCCTCAACGGTGAGCAGGCGAACAAGTGGACCAGCAAAAGCTCCACGCTCCACCTTTGGTTGTTTCGCGGGGATTTCACGGAGACGGGGCCGCCGATCGGGCGGTGCGGGGCGGGGAGAGGGGGGAATCCAATGGCATCGCTACACAGAGGGCGCGCGGCGTGACCAGGCAGGGCCGGCAGGGCACGGCCTCCTCTGACGAGAGGCTTTTCTCTGCAGGGTACCTCGGCGGGGAAAGGGGGCGAGCCACACGGCGTGCCCGTCCCGCTCCGTCCTGGCCCGCCCTGGCCCGCCCTGGCCGCGCACATTGGGGTCCTTTCATTCGACATCGACCCACCCGCAGCCCGCGCAGCGCGCAGCCCCAGGAACGAGACCGAGACCCCCCGGACCCCGGGACGCCAAATGAAGGCGAGTCAGTCACCGCCACCGTCGCCACCGCGGTGTCGCCGGCCATGGTGGGCCAGAAGACCGGTGGAGGCGGCCAAAACTCCAGACGCGTTTTGAGCTCCAGCAGGACTCGAACCGAACGTGTGACCCCACCAATGGATTCCTCGTTCGAAGAGCAATCCATTGGTGGGGTCACACGTTCGGTTCGAGTCCCATTTAGCGACTTTGGAGCTCAAAACGAGTCTAGAATTTTGTCCGCCTCCACCGGTCTTCTGGCCCACTGTGCAGCGCCAGCGCTCGTCGCTCTGTCTCTCTCGCACCCACAAGGGGCGCTCCGAGCGTGCGAGAGAGACAGAGCACCGCTCGGAATCAGCCTGCTGCACGGCGAACGAGCGCGGCTCGGCGCAGCAGCGCAGCCTGACCCATTTCAGCCTCGCGCCACGCATCGCGGCATCGCGGCAGCGGGAGGCCTCTCTCTCGCACTCACGGCACGCTCCGCACCGGTGGGAGAGGGACAGACCGACGGCCGCACTGTACGGACTCAGACACCGCGCACAGCCTCGCTGAGCCTGGTGTAGAGCGCAGCAAGCGCAGCTTAGCCCGGCCGCCAGAGCCAGAAGGCAAGCCGCGGAGCCCCGGCCCGGCTCGGCTCCGCACCACGGCCACGGCTCGTGCCGCGAGCAGCCGCGAGCCCCTCCGCTCGGATCGCATCGGCTGCACGCTGCGATGCTCTGCTTTGGCTTTGCCCTCCTCCGCGCGGTCAGGTAAATGTGCCGGGCAGATGCGGCACGGGCGGGGCGGGGCGGGGCGGGGCGGGGCGGGGCGGGGCGGGGCGGGGGAGGCGTAGGGGCCCCACGCCGCCGAGAGGGGCCCAGAGCAAGCTCAGCGGAACAATGAGAGCCGCGTGCCAAGTCCGGCCAAGCCGCCTAGACGAATCAATGAATGAATGAAATGAATGAAAATGGGCGAAATGAATCGGAGGGTTGCAATCGCCGAATGGCCGCGCCCCGTCGGGCAGCCTCCTCGTTCCGAAGGGGTCGCTTCGTCGCTCTGTCTCTCTCGCACGTCTACGGGACGCCCTGCGAGTGCGAGAGAGACAGAGCGACGAGCCTGCGGGATCAGGCGGCTGGAGGGGACTCGGGGACGTGCGCCAAGCGAGCCAGGCAAGCGCCATTGTGCAAACGCGGAGGGGGGGGGGGGGGACGCGAAGCGCGATCTGCGGGGCGGCGACAGCGAGACAGCGAGGCGAGGGTGCCTTCCGACAGCGCGACAGCGCGACGCCGTGTCGCCAGCATCTCGTGACAGCATCTCGCAGTGTCGTGTCACACACTCACACATACACACACGCGCACGCTCGCACACCGGTAGACACCGCGGCGGCGGTACGGCCCTTACCTCTCGCGTTGGTCGCAGCGTCGGCGATCTTTTGGAAGGCGTCCAGGTAGGCGGCGATGGCCTGCAGCGTCGCCCTGCAACACGCACACGTGCCGATTAGCTCACCGTCAGCACACCGTCAGCACTTGTTGCCCGCCTTGCCCGCCACTCGCAGAAAAAACCGGGGGTGAAATGTTTCCGGTTCCGGTGCGTCGTTTCCATTTTCCTCGCCCTCGGTAAGTGAACACCGCGTTCTATTTCTTGCAAATCATTTTTTGCGGTTTTTTTTTCAGTGCCACGCTTGGATCTTCCCCTTCCTGCTTTCTTTGAAGCCTGTCCCCTGAAGACGCGGTCCCCAGTGTGTTCGGATTATCTGGCTCGTTTCTTGGCGCACCTTGGACGAGATGGACATGAGCCTGGCCGCGTCCGCGAGGTCTCTCCTTGCGGCGGCGAGGCGCCGAGGCGTCGAGGCCGCGGCGTCGTGGGGTAGGCCGGGTAGGCCGCTGGGTCGGGCAGGTCATGGGGCACCGCCGGCACCGCGTGACATACGCGCCGACCACTCCGACCGCCGCGGTGCACCGCCACACGAGTAACCCTAGCCGAAGTGGCCGGGGCTTCCACGTCCACCCACCCACGCCCACGCCCCGCCGCACGCCCACACGCGTGACGGGAGCGTGGATGCGGACCTGGTGGCGACCTGGCGGTCCTAGACACGGCAGGCGGCACCGCCGGCACACCCTCCAACTTATGCAATAACTTCTCATCCCGGCCCGACCACGGCCCGGCCTGTCGCAGCCAGCAGACTGATTCCGAGAGTCGTTTTCGTCGCTCCGTCTCTCTCGCACCTGTAGGGGACGCCCCATGAGTGCGAGAGAGACAGAGCGACGAAAAGGCCTCTCGGAGTGAGTCTGCAGGCAAGCCGACAAGCCCACCCCGCCCAACTTCGGCGTCGACCCCCGTCCTGCCCCGTCCCCGTGGCCGCTTTCCGGCCCGCCGACGGCCCGCGCAGCAGCCCGGCCCACAGTGGGCCAGAAGACCGGTGGCGGCGGCCAAAACTCTAGACGCGTTTTGGGCTCCAGAGTCGCTAAACAGGACTCGAACCGAACGTGTGACCGCACCAATGGATTCCTCGTTCGGAGAGCAATCCATTGGTGGGTCACATGGTCGGTTCGAACCCCATTAGCGGCTCTGGAGCTCAAAACGCGTTTAGAGTTTTGGCCGCCTCCACCGGTCTTCTGACCCACTGTGCGGCCCCACCCACTCCCTCGCAGCCACCAGGGGCTGGCAAGGCTAATCTACGGCAAACTCACCTGAGGCACGTGTGCAGCTTGGTGGCCTTGGCGACTAGGTCCTCCCAGAGCGGCGTCCCGTTCTGCAATCAGAAGCAAAGTCGCGTCACTGCGTCACGTCACACCCTGGTGTCTTAATTAGTCACGTGACGGCCACGTGACGCGGGGTGCGTCCGCGCGTCCGCCACACCCCCGCCGTCACCTCCCCGTCACGCCGACACGCAGCACGCTCATTCACAGTCGTTTTCGTCGCTCCGTCTCTGCCGCACCATACGGGACGCCTCATGAGTGCGAGAGAGACAGAGCGACGAAAACGGCAGTCGGAATGGGCCTGCTGGGCCACGCGCTTCCACTTCCAGCTGCTTCCAGCGTCATGTGGCGAACGTCCCTGTTGGTGATCCCCCGAGCAGGGAGGGGTAAAAGGGTTTTCCGCCCCCGCCCCCCCTCCCAAAAGCACCTAGACAGCAACCTGAAAGGTAGGCAAAAAGATGCACTGGGGACAAAAAGTTCTACTTTAAGGCCGCCTCTGGACCCTACACTTAAGGTCATGTGGACCTATCTTACCCTACCGCCACTGCCCCCAAGCCACTCACCACTGCCAGAGTGTTAGGTCTCTGGAGCGGGGTACCGTAGCATTTACATAAAAGCAAATTAATTAACAAAAGAAACTTAGAAGATGGAAAAGCATTTTAAAGACAAGGCAAGTTTTATTGAGGAATAACTTTTTGAAAATAGTCTGGGGCTTAAACCAAAATCATGGCTAATTCGCTAACATGAAAAAAATTAACAGTTCACAACATATAGGAGTAGAAAGTTACGACCGATATTTAAAAACGAAAAATGCCACGGGCTTGTACGATCCACAAAATAAATTTAAGTTCATACAACCCGTAGGCCAAAACACAAAAATTTAAAATAATGCTGACTTGTAACAAAAATATAACTACAAGATTCAGCTGTTGACATTAAGTGCAGCATGGTACAATATTTTTTCTTTTTTAATGATAATCAGACAATGATTATTGATTCACATGAAATTCATGACAATAAACACCATGAGTTAAAAGAGTAAATGGCTCTGGGATGAAGGGGGGCTCGCGGCCGGAGCGCGAGCAACGTCCGGGAGGCCAAGGAGGCCGTCGTCGTGGAGGCTCCGAGGCCGCGGAGCACAACGCGGTGCACAACGCGGGCCATGCAATGCAATGCAGCCCGCGGCGCGGGGCGACGCGGGGCGACGCAGACGCATCGCACTCTGCTCGCGGCCCGAATCAATAGAGAGAAGGACCGACACCGACGCGTCGCGGCCGCCGCCAGCACCACCGCGACGTACCTTCATGTCCATGATGATCTGGTGGAACAGGCCACCGAGCGCCGAGCACTCTCGCTCCAAGCTCACTTCCATGGCGCTGCGGTGTGTTCACTCACTGGTCTCGTTCCCACAACCTCCGCACCCTTTCACCTCTGAGCCACAAACACCAGCACTGGTTCGCGACGCATGGCACGCGGGGCTCGGGCCTCGGCTCGGGACGGAATCGCGGTTCGCACGCACGGGCACAACCACTCGCTTGACGGAACTACCCGCTGCCGCTGCACAACGAATGCACTACCAACGCCAGGACCCGCGTCGGCTGCGGCGGCACAAGCAGCCAAGGTCGGCCATGAGCTGCTTGCTACTGTCGTCGTCTCCGTCTCTTTCTCTTCTCTTTCTCGTGCTTGTTGTTGTTGTGGGGCCTCGCCGCGCCGCCTGCGCATGCGCGCGGGGTGGCGGGGGGGCGTGTTGGGCGCTCTCTTGGGCCGTGGAACGCGCTCACTGCGCCGTGACGAGGAAAAAAACTTCCCTGAGTTTTCTCGTTTTGAGCAATCCAGGCATCCGCTTGTCTGCAATTGAGCTAAAACGAAAATGAAAACGCATTGTCGACCTCTCTGAAAAAGAACTTGCCCAAAGTCATTCCAAATGAAACTGCTCCATCGGGAATTGTCTCTCGCAGAAAGCGACACTTGACGTCGGTGTTGTGGCAGGATTGAGTGTCAAGTGATGAATGGAAACAAGTGTCCGCTTAACCTGCAACGAGCCGTTGATTAAATAAAGTACAAGTTTGTTGAGACAGAATGTCAGAAAAAGAATATGCCCCTCTCAGCTCGGCCTGTGTCCGGGCCCTCAATGACAAGATCTATGACAAGCGAAAAGCCGCAGCTCTCGAGATTGAGAAGTAAGTCAAGTCCCGTTTTGCAGACAGCCCTCCTCCCCTTTCATCCTAGAATGTACACTTTCCTATTCTTTCACTGAGTTTCGGCTTTCAGGGCTGTTCTATCGTATTAGAAATTGTGGTTGCGTGTTTTTATCATGTCATGACTGCAAGCATGTAAATCCAATTCAATAAAATCTGTTCTTGTTCAGGATGGTGAAGGACTTTGTGACAAGAAACAAAACCCAAGAATTAAGACAACTAATGAAAGTGCTGGGTCAAGATTTTGCTGGTTCTCAAAACCCCAACACTCGGAAAGGAGGACTCATTGGTTTAGCAGCGACATCCATTGCTCTGGGGAAGGTAAAGCTCTAACGCTCATGTCCACCACGACTCCGTCTGTTCCAGGCATCATGTTTATTCAATTTTTGTTTCCTTTTTGTTTAGGATACTGGGCAATACACTGAAGAATTAGTGCTGCCCATACTTGCCTGTTTCTCAGATGGAGATCTAAGAGTGCGTTATTACGCATGTGAAAGCCTGTACAATGTTGTCAAAATTGCTAGAGGTGCGGTTTTACCACATTTTGCTGAGATATTCAGTGCCTTAAGCAAACTGGCAGCAGATCCCGACCAAAGTGTGAAAAATGCTTCAGAGCACCTGGACCGACAAATGAAAGTATGTGATTTCTGCTTAAAGTAAAAGTTGATTCTTATCCTTTGACAATGAGTAGCAAGAATGAATCACTTGGTTTCAGGATATAGTCAGTGAGGATCCTTCCTTCGATATGATGGCGTTCATACAGCTCTTAAGAGAGCGAATTTATACTAAAAATCCTTTTACAAGGCAGTTTATAATATCATGGGTATCAGTCCTTTATGCTGTTCCCGATATGGATTTCATTGTATTGTTACCAGAAATTTTAGATGGCCTTTTAAAAATGCTCGATGAACCCTCATTGGAAATTAAGAAAACGTAAGTAATTTTTATCAGGAAAATTAGAGACATTGATGGTTTGTATTTGATGTATTTTTAACCCTTTACCTTTTATTGGCAGATGTGATACAGTTTTAGGTGAATTCCTAAGAAGCATTAAGCAAGATCCCAGTAGGGCTGATTTCTCTTCAATGACAAACATTTTAATTATACATGCTCAAGCACAAGATGAGTTCCTTCAACTCACCGCAATAACATGGATCAAAGAATTTGTCCAATTGTCTGGTAGAAGCATGTTACCCTATGCATCTGGTATTCTGACAGCTATTCTCCCGTGCCTTTCATATGATACGGATTCTCGAAAAAGTATCCTTACGACTGCTTGTTTTCCCTTTACTTACTTTTACTTACTTTTCCTCCCCATACAGTTCCCTATTATAATTTCAAAATCTTCCTTACAAAAATATTCAGATACTAGAGAAACAGCCAAAGCTGTTAACATTAGTCTTACCAGGCTAATCACTGCTGAGGAAGACAACAAAGAGAGTGTTCTGAATGTGGAGTCCATCGTAGATGTACTATTGAAACATCTCGTACATACTGCTGTGCCCACCAAAGTTGCTGCTTTACAATGGGTTTATCATTTGCATACCAACATTCCTGATCGGGTTTGTACAAAACCACGTAAGCCTTCTCCAAACAGACTGAAATGATTTGTAACTGTTTGTGATTCATTGCAGATGATTGTACATATGGATGAAATATTCCTTGTCATGTTGAGAGTATTGTCAGATTCTTCTGATGAAGTTGTCCAAAACGACTTAGAAGTTTTGGCTGAGATAATGTCGTACCCTTTGCCAGGTATCTCTTCCTTGCACTCAGCACATTGTTTGCATTCGTATTACATTGAGGCGTATGAAGTACATGCCACTATTGTTGTTTCACAGATGACGGTTCTGGTGATGCCTCGGGAGTTACAAAAAGTCCAAATTCAAAAAATCCTTATTTTTCTAAATTCATTGTAAGCTTGTTGAAACTTTTTGCAACAGACAGTCATTTACTTGAAGATAGGGGCTCATTTATCATAAGGTAAATTAAAATTAAGGAAATGTCATACATTATGCTTGGTTTCCCATGACTCATTGTTTTATTTTTCAGGCAACTATGTGTCCTTCTTGATGCTGAAGACATCTACAGAACTCTGGCCACAGTTCTCTCAAAGGAGGAAAATGTAACATTTGCATCCACAATGGTTGAAATTCTTAACACTATACTTTTAACAGCTGCAGAGCTTTTCAAGCTCAGAAATAAATTAAAGGATCTTTCTACTGAGGTCAAGATTACAAGCAAACTGCTTAAATATTATTGTTTTATTTATTTTTTTCTCAACACCAAATTTTTAAAAAAATTATATTTACTTTCAGGAAAGTTGTACACTGTTTTGTCAACTGTATGAGCTGTGGTGTCACAATCCAGTGGCAACTGTCTCTCTCTGTCTTTTGACCCAAAACTATGCCCATGCCAGCCGTTTGATTAGAAACTTGTATCCTTTCAAATTGAACCTTCATTATTCATATCATCTTGCACAATTGAAAACAAATTTATAAAGCAATTCCTTAACATTCACAGTGGAAGTTTGGAAGTTACAGTGGACTTTCTCATCGAAATAGATAGACTGGTGCAACTTTTGGAATCTCCCATTTTCACTTGTAAGTCATTTCCCCAATGAAACAGGTTTTGTTTCTGTATAAATTAATGGGAATTTTAAAAGCCCTTCTTGATTCCACAGTTGTTCGACTAGAGCTTCTAGAAATTCCACACAACCATCACCTTGTTCAAGCACTGTATGGTTTGCTTATGCTCTTGCCCCAAACTGAAGCTTTCCATATGCTGCAGCGCAGACTCAACTGTATTCCATCCCTCCACTTGCAAAATGGATTGACATCAGGGTAAGGTGGATCTGTGCATGTGTGCATCTGAACTTTTGGCTGAACCTGACTAGGTCATCTTTAGCATATTTTCTTGTTTGCAGGGGAGTTGAAGAGAAGGTGGACTCAAGACCTGGAGCTAAAGGCATAAACTTTGATAATCTCCTAAAACATTTTTTTGAAGTTCAAGAGAAAGATAGTCAAAAGAAGCAAAATGACAGGCGAATGGCTTTACTTCAGCAAGGTGTTATGAATCTTGATGTCCAGTAAATGGTATAACTTTTGGACACAGTCAATGTATTTAAAATTAATTGAAAAATTTCTGAGACAGGGTTCAGCTAGTTAATTGGCATTCCAGTGAATGCAAGTCTCTGTGTGTGTCCTGTCAATGTTTCATGGCAGTTAACCAATTGCAATTGAATTGGTTTCCAGATGCCCTGGAAATGTCCAGTAATATGCATGTACCTAGCTGTATGTACCAAGGTGATACTGTAATGCATTTTTCTTGTATAAATTAAGTGAGAGGAATGTCTATAATTTATGTTGTTGATTAATATAAAATCTAATAGATATGTTTGTGAAATAAAGTTTTTATTTTGAAGAAATTAAACTTAAAATTATTCAACAACTTTTTATAGCTGCACAGTTTCAAAATACATAATGATAACAATATCAACTTTCTTTAAATTCTGATGGTTTATTTTTCACAATGGGACCGGGATTTGATAGATTGTAGGATGCCAATAATGTACGATAAGTAAAATAGGAGCATAGCTTGGTAAAGAGCTGATGCAACTGTACAAAACTTCTCACACTTGCAACACAAATAAGAAATAGGTACCACAGGTGATAATATAATGAAAATACAAAATACAACATAATGCTAATAGTCTTACAAATACAAGCAGAGGATTAACTGACTTTGGAGGGTCCACCTCAGTGACATCTAAATCATGCTGATCAGAAACAGACAATACAAGTGCTGGATATAATAATTATATAATCCACATCAGCTTCTTGCAACAGAAACTAAAGAAGAAAAAGAACAAACCATGATCAATCAACTGGGAAATATTAGCTGGAATGAACATTGACCTTTGTGTATAGGAGTCACAGCAAAACTTATCTAATATTGGACAAAGTGTGCATTCCCATTGCTGCAGAGGAAAACCTCTCAACCAAAACTGTTATCACTCCACAATCACAGATGCATGAATACTAGAGAAAAACCAAGTATCCTGAGGAACAATCATAGCCACCATTCTGGAGGCATTCTTTCAACAACAAAAAAAGGCTTCTCACCTTGAGCTTATAATAATATTTCCTCAGAAACAAAAGAAGAACAATAAATCTCATTTAACTTAGTAACAAACAACCCTGAATTTCCACAAAATTTAAGTTTCCACCCACAACAGTCTACCTAAGGACTTAGTATCTGAAGGCTTGAAGTGATTTCTTGAAGTTGATTAACCAGGTGGTTATTTTCAACAACTGTATCATTCAGTCCTTTTCTTAAGTTAATCATTTGTTCAATAGCATTGTTAAATTTCACTGACTCTTCCTTACTGCGGAAAGGATACTTGGACGGTTTTTCTTTCCTTGTTTCACCTCGAAGCTTTTGAGTGAGCTGTCTAGTTAGGAGCTTGTCGTGTATAGAGCGATCTGCTTCAACAACTCTACATTTAAATTGCTCCAAGTGATGCTCATACTGTGTGACATCTTTTTCTAATATCTGAGTTTGAAGAAAAACAGTTTGAGCCATTTTATACCAGTCAGCCATGTTGTCAGCTTGTTGAACTAGTGGAGGGCTTGCTTTCTGGTCTAGTAGTAGACGAAGCTGTCTTCCAGCATCTACTACCTTAATCCGCTCCAGAACATGGAATTGTTCATCATTGTAAGTTAGACTTCTTGTAGCTTTGTCTCTGAGCAGATGCTGCCATGATTCTCTGAGACGGTCCACCAGAGTCCTAGCAATGTTTGGCATGCGTGCTTCTGATGGGCAAACTGCTTCTCTTGACACAGCAGACCAGCCTCGAAGGAGAGTTCGCTCAGTAACATAACGGTCATGAAGTAGCTTGATTGCTGGAGCTAGGTTGTCACTGAGTTCTTGAGTGAGTGTATTCAGTTCAGTTTTCCAATCAGTAGCTGTTGCCATTTGATCATTTTCCACAGCACTATCAAGCTCACGAATCGCATTGTGAGATCTTGAAGTTACATTTACTATGTCTCGTACATATAAGGAACATGCTTGAAGCTTTTCGCTGCGTTCAAGCACTCTTTCAAGATCTTTGCTCACAACTGCCGACATGACTTCAACACAAAGGCTATTTAACCGGCTTGTCTGAGCTAATTTTTCAATACGTCTCTTACACTCATGTCCTACACTACAAGAAACTTTGGCTATGCTGGCATCATTTTCTACTGAGACCAAATTTGGAAAACTGGGAAAATCCGGCAGAGGGTTTTCTGGCATTTGAATCACATTGTTGTTATCCTTACTCAGAAGCATAATTGGACATTCTTCATCAATCTTGGGATATCCACGACCAGGGGTGTTTTCGTCCACAACAGCCAGAAGAGGCTGATCCTTTAGAAGTAGAATCTGATTGTTGGGAGCAACATCAGTTTGATTCATGATTAAACTCTGGACTTCCTGATATGTTCCTTCTGGATGCAAATACACTCTTACAGTTTGAGCCCTGTTCAGATAGAATATATGCAACAATTTACGTGATAAAATGTTAGTGACCTCAGAAAAGAAGCCATCGAAAGTCCACACTCGATGGTGATCTGTCTCCATCAGTCCAGACAAAAGAGGAATGACTAGTCTCTTCAAACCAGCACTGAGTCGACAGTTGCTTGGAAGGTCACTGTTCCACTCAATAGGTCCATTATCTCTCAATTGAATGCCTGATATGACTCCAGGTGCTTTTTTTGTCGTGATGAAGAACATGGTCTCTTTGTTACGACGACCACCAAATGGGCGGAAAGGCAAGTTACCTGTGGCAACATGGTAGAGGGTGACTCCAATGGACCACAGATCTACAGTGGCACCAAACGCTGTGCCAACAGGCTTCTTGAGCACAGCACGTTCAAAGAGATCTGGGTGAAGATATTCTTCGGTACCATACAGAGAAACAAATTTCTGATCTTCCTGTAATTCTCTTGCAGCACCGAAATCTGTCAATTTGTAAATGGTGCGTCCATCTTCTGCAATAAATTTCATGATGTTTCCAGGCTTTAGATCACGGTGAACCAGATTGTTGTCCCGAAGATGCTTCATACCAGCAGTAAGATGGCTCAAGACAAGAAGAAATTCCTCTTCTTGCAATCCGTACGTATTTTCGGGATCTTCGAGAATTGTAAACAATGACCCTCCCGTACACAGTTCCATGACAATGACTTTCCCACGACCATCTTGTTCATCTTCAATGGCTAAAAGTTTGACAATATTCTCATGTTTTACTCTTTGAATAACTTCAAACTCTCGCAGCTGAACCTCAGAACTGCGCTGGTGGCTAACCTGGTTAAATGTTTTAACAGCCACTGGCTCCCCATTGTTTTTGTTAACACCTTGGTAGACAGCACCTGTTGCACCTTTCCCCAACACACTGGTAGTTATCCACACAAAATTGCTGGATCCCCGCAAAAATGCCGCTGAAGTCATCTTAGGAGATTTTCGTTGCACTTTGCACCAAGGTATATCTTCCTACCGACCTCTTCTGCGCACAATAAATGGCACGATGACAATCATAGGAGTACTCGGCGCCAGACTGCAGCTGGGCAGGGAATACAGGAATGCACAGGAGAAATGGCTGTTATCTCTTGTCAGGAGAAGCAGGAACAATTACATCACTTCCCCTGGATTGCAGGCATTTCAGTCACTTGATGCACTCAAGCCGAGTCGAATGTTGTTGTTGTTGCCTCGATTCGAACTTGTTGTTGTTTGTTTTTAGTGTGTTTTGCTAGAAGGCAGTGCCACGCAAGGTACCAACCACAAGAAATCTTAAATGAACGGATAATGAAAGAACTCACTCATATTTTGATACAAATCGCGTTAAACCTCTTTGGGAGCTGAGAGGAATGGCCTATGATTAAGTTGATTTCCGTCGCTTCGACCGTCATGATCCAAAAATATTGCATTTGCAAGACAACAGTGCACTCACCTGGAAGCGAAATGTTCTTACGTCACGTCAGGGCGAATGATATCGTAACCAAATCAAAACATTTGTCATATGTGATCTGCTGTAATTCTCAAGTATTTGTCCTGCTAGGACAATAGACTGGGCTTTCTGCGACTATTCACGTAAGGCTTGAAACATTTTTGCTCAGTCCGTGGGTACGGGAGAAAGTTGTAGTAATCCATCTTGGCCGTCTCCACGTCCTAGCCCTTTCGTCAACTCGTTTATTAAAATAAAAGAAAGAATGCCTGAGAGATATTGCATTGCATGCCCATCATCCTTTCAGTCACTCACAATTTCGTGTTAAAGTGACTCTGTCCGCCCTATGCTCATGCACAGTGGAAGGCTCTTGTAAGGCACTAGGGCCTGTCAATTCTAACTGTTGATTATCTCACAAATGTTTTTAATACTCATAAGCTATTAGAATACAATATTGCTTCTGAGACCACTTATATTTACCATTTAGTTCAAATTCGATCTCAAAGGAATGAATGAAAGAATTTATAATTATTCTGTCCGTTCTGCAGATGTGTCACTTGGTTGTTAAGGTTACGTTTCCACAGCCTGAATTCCGAGTGAATCTTTACAATTGGAGGAGCTAATTCTGTCAAATGTCCAATTTTGCGTATTTTCAAATTTTGAATTTCTGTTGTTGAATGTTATTGTTTTTTGTTTCTTTTGATTTCAGTATTAATATCCAGACATGTCAAAGAGCATTGTTGCAACTTCACGGCTTCAACAAGACTATGTTAGACTGAAGAAAGATCCAGTTCCATATATTGTGGCAGAACCCTTGCCCAGTAACATTTGCGAATGGTAATATGATTGGTAGTTTGTACTCTCATTGTAATGTTTTACAATTGTAATTCTATAAATCCTACAGTGGTTTTGTTAATTTTCTTATTATAATTCATCTGACAGGCATTATGTAGTACTAGGACCCGAAGGGACACCTTATGTTGGTGGTCTCTACCATGGCAAATTGGTATTTCCTCGAGAGTTTCCGTTCAAACCACCTAGTATATACATGATTACCCCCAGTGGAAGGTCAGTGTGACATGTTATGACAGACATGGTCTTAAAACCACAGTTGCTGACAATTGTGCATTTTCCTTTTCTCCTGGTAGATTTAAGACAAATACTCGTCTCTGCTTGTCAATAAGTGATTATCATCCCGACACCTGGAATCCTGCTTGGAGTGTTTCCACGATCCTCACTGGACTGCTGAGTTTTATGGTAATGTTCCTCATTTTTCTGGACTCATTGAAGTATCTGTTGTACCAAACTGTATCCTTATTCTGTTTTCTTTCTTAAGGTGGAAAATACACCAACATTGGGTAGCCTTGAAACTTCTGAAATTGAAAAGCAGCAATTAGCTCACCGTAGTTTGGAATTCAATATCAATGACAGCATTTTTTGTGATCTTTTCCCAGATTTAGCCAATGTATGTATTTTAGATTTTAATTTTAACATAACAGCATTTAAAATTTTGTCCTTGTCTTAAAGGCTATTGTTTACATTTTTTTCAGAATGTACGAGCTGAATTGGCCAGACGAGCAGAACTTGAACTTGAACTACGCAATGTTGAAGCTGAATCAGAAAATAATGACGGATCAAGTACCCTAATTGATAACAACCATGGGGGTGCAGGTGGCCAGTCTGCACTTCACAGTGCTATGAGCAATCTGTTTGTTTTTGTAGGATTTGCTGCTTTTGCATATATTGTTAAGTATGTTGTGAAAGGTCTCAAAACTGAATAGTTATATCTGTATATCTTCTTTCATCAACCCATCCCCTCTGTGATTACTGTGTCGTGGTGAAGGGCAATTTTGTTGCCGTTTTCTTCATATGATAGGAAGGTGAGCAACGTTAGTATGATTCTACATGAAGAGAGTTAAAGTCATCGATGTATTATCACTAATTTATCAGCCTTCCCTGTACCTTGGATCCTTTTTTTTTTTTTTTTTTTTTTTAAGTAGAATCATTTATGACAGTATTTAAATGAGAGTGGAATCAAGTTCAGGTTTTCACTTACTCCAATATGTAATAAGCATCAGACGAAAACATCTTTTTTTTTTGTTTTGTTCCATGTACTTTTTGTCTGAGATGTTTCTCCCTCATTGAAAGGAGGCAATCATGCATGTGTCTGTGGTTTAGCAAATACCTTCTTTTTTGCCAGTAACTTTTCATGCAGTAGTAATAATTACTTACAAAGTTAGTATAGAGTGATGCATCTTAAATTGATTCTTGTCTTTCTCCCATTGATTATATTGATAAACCCTGTAACATTCCAAGGCATTTTTACACAAAAAAAATATATGTGGTTTTCTTTCTCTTTCCTTTAAGTGACTGGCTGCACAGAGACCTCTTACCTGCCATTGTTCCTTTTGAGCTTTGTTTTATTAAACTGTTGTATTCCATTTCAGTTAGTGCTGCATACAGCCAAAAAAATCATCAGACAAAAGCAATGAAATTCAGTTTTCATATTTCTCTCGAAGGTTTTTTTTTTGTGTGATTGTGTGTAAATATAAATAATATTAATATTACATATATATTTTATTTCTAGTACCCACTGGCATGCATTGCCTTTCTAAAGAATTTTAAGAAATAACTATTGAGTGTGTTGTATAGTTAATTTTGTTAATGCCTGTGATTTGATTGGATGTGTGATATGTTCGTGGATGTTTGATTTACTTCTTTAAATGTATGTAATTTTTTCCTCCTAAGAAGTTAAAGTGAGTGAATATCCCTACTCTGTAATATTTAAACTGTTGTGTATAATAACATTAGTTATTGGATAAAGGGATCAGTTGTCAATGGTACAATGTTTTGTTCTTGTCCAACTTCCATATTGTTGGGAGACAATATTTACAATTCATCTTAGGTAAGTGTAGTGGGAATGATGCCATAAGTTGTGGTTTAAACCATTTTTTTCTCGCATTTCCTCTAGTCAGATAATAAAAGGATGCAAATTTATTCTGAAAATTCAGTTGTATGTTGTCTTCCCACAATAAATCAAAACCTTCAAAGTTTCTGGTTTTAAGCGATATTTTACTTACATACATTACAAGGAGCACAGGAAGTTCATATCTGCATTATGATGCTTTCAAATTCATTTAACATAATTTGATTCTTGCCTCTTAGGTGTTACAATTGTGAAGGGTTATTGGGTCAGCTATGTAATGTAACATTATCATTGTGTGATCAGAAAATGGCTATGCTCTGCATTGATGGTGGCCACAGTGTATCTCTCTACATCATGAGGGTGGCTTATCAGGATATGCTTTCAACATCATTTGTAACTATCCCACCATTGATTGCAGTTTTGCAAGTGTGTGCAAAAGTTGAAATTCAAATGTGTGAGGAGCGTTCAAATAATCCATGCATGTTCAATTTTGGCTGTTAATTTAATTGTACAAGTTTGTTTGATACATAACTGTATTAAAATCTTTAAGTAGGTAACATTTGGTAACTTTGTCCCAGGATATTCATTTTGCTTCCTATTTTCTCCATCCATTTATCCCTTCAACCCCCTTTACAGGAGGTGAGAAAATGAACTGGAACTCCCTCAAACAAAATATTTGGAGCACTTAACTTTATTTGGTTCATAGCAATTCTTCTTAAGTGGAATTGGACCTGCTCAACTGGTGATAAAGTTTGGTGTGTGTCAAATTTGGAAGTTATGAACTAAAAGCTTTCTAATATCTTTTTTAATTTGAAGACATTGATCATAATTAATGGATAGCTCCATCTCTCTCATACAGAGGTGGTTATCTTGCACAATCTAAAAACTGAAGTTTCATCCCCTATAAGTTACATTCACAGCCATGTTTTGGACCTCTACTAAGAGTAAACACACTCCAGACAACTCCACACCACAACTTGATGGGAAGATACTTATTAAAATGCTTGAGTGGAGACACTAAAGAAAAGGTTATTAAATAAATCCTATCTAATCAAATAATTATACATAATTAATCATTTTTCAAAGTGTGTTTTTTTCATGTTTGTTTTAATTACTGTACCTATAGTAAAAATAGATCAAAAATCGAAGGTTACAACAAAAATGTGACTTCAAGCCTCAGTCATCCACTGAAGTGCATCTCTGACAACGGACAACTTGATACGGCGCAGAAAACTTTCAACTAAATTATACTCTGGTGAAGCATGTACAACGTTAGTATCTAATGCTAGATGATGCGATGGATTTACATCATCAGGCATAAACTTGGCTGACATCATTCTTCGACCCTCACAAAGAACTTTAGTTGTGAGGCACAGCAGCCACTGTAGAATCTGAAATAAGAATAGAGAGTCAGACAACAATTTGTTTTCAAAACAAACAAATGTCTAATGCTCTCAACCTACCTCAGAGCTTGAGGGAATCTTGGTGCTTTCTCCTTGGATCCAAGAACTTGGGGCCCACAAATAAAGCTGGCACACGGTAGCAGCAAGTTCAGCACTTATGCGCTATAAATAAAAAAAATTCAAGAATAATAGTATAGTCTTGCATGTGCACGAACTAGTGCTAATGCTGCCTCCCACAAGAAAATTGTCCCTAATTCTACCTGTCTAACATTCTATGACGAGAGGTAAATTTTATTTCCAATTAAGTAATGCATTTTGTTGTCATCAATTTTAAAAAAAGGAACTTACCTTTGACGGACTTCGAGCCAACATTTCTTGAACAAGCTTTACAATAATTGGAGGAACATCCCCAGGGAGAGGAGGCAGGTCACATTCGCTGTATGAAGAAGAAAGTAAAAATGTGGCCCCTTTGCCATTTTTAGCAGTAGTGCCTGTCTGGTTGCCAATTCGGTGAAAAGGGTTGTCCATTCCAAACAGCTGATATGACAGAGTTCCCACAGCCCAAACATCTGCCTTGCTGTAGTTAATGTAATTGAATGGTCCAGGCTCAGCACAAGCAACCTGAAAAGTCAAATGCCAGAATCAATAGAAGTCTATCAAAATTTAAACTGGATATAAGTTTAAGATAAAATTATCGCAAACCTCAGGAGCCATGAGAGCTGCATTTCCTCCCTTGTCAGTGTCATGCGATGTGTAATGTAGGCTAAGACCTTGTACCCGGTCAGCTAAACAGCATCCAAAGTCAGTAACAGACAGATTCGGGCACATCTCGTCACTCTCATCCAAGTCAAGTAAAATATTGTCTGCCTTCAGATCTCTGCATAGAATAAAGCAAAAAAAGTTGGGATCACAATAATGTAAGGTCTACTTTGCGTTATTTTTCTCTCCCCAAAATTCAAATTCAATAGTTTACCTGTGGGCAACACCATTTAGAACCATGTGTGTAACAGCTTCCAATAACTGTGTAAGCAACAAAATAGCTACTTTTGGGTTTGGAGAAGACTTTTCCAAGTAGTCCTTAAGGCTCGTGTCATACCTTGAAATTGAAAGGCAACCATAGTTGGGAAGATCAGATCATGTGAGTGCACGAGGACTTTTGATTCATTAGCCAATTCATCAAATCACCTTTTCATCACGAGAAAAAGACTCATGTTCCGACCAAACCCATTTGGATTTAATCGTGCTGGCAATGCATCTGGATACAGTGACAACGAACCAGGCAAGGCCTGGACGCTGTCAGTGAATGCATTGTAGACTCGGACTATGTTGGGATGTGGTGGTAAGGTTCTGCAGCGCTGACGAAGGCTACATTCAAACAAAAACAAAACATGTGAACTTGAAAATAGGGGGCTTAAACAAGCAAACTGAGAATTTTGATTAAAATGAAAGTGGTCGTACCCTCCTTCCCAACTCATTATCTCTTCTTTGGATGAGTAGGTCATAGCAGGGACAGTCTCCCTATGCATAGCACGCAGAATCGACATAGAGTTTGATTCAGCATCATAATTGAACATCATTTTTATTGCCAGGGGAAAATTGGACGTGTCATTTTCTTGTTTGAGATCTTCAAATGATGATGACTCTGCAAGTTTAAAGCTTATCAACTAAACACTAAAAGCAAAAACAATGAAAATGTTACTGATTCCAAAGTAATGTATCCTTTACCTTCTTTTAATTTTGCCGTATACACAACACCATTGCAGCCTTTGGCAATAGCCTTGCCAAATTCGAAATTTTCAAGAGAAAATGGTTCGTCCAATCGTTCCCAAATGTTCTGAATATCGCTTTCCTTTTTGATAAACGTCCAATCCATAGCGGACACTGTCTCCTGTCAACGTCAACAACGCAGAGAAACATTCCATGAACAAATGTGAGTGCGACAAACATTCAAACAGATTGATGGTGACAAGACGGTGACAGTGCCCACCCTTATCCCCCAGCAAGCCGCCTCCAACTCGTCCTCCTCGGTGATGATGCTGGTGCCGGAGGCCAGGTTGACACCCACGAAGGCGAGGAAGGGGGCTGCATTGCCGAAGAGCAGGCGCTTGGCCGTGCGCCGCCTGAGCTCCGCGGCAGTCGAGTTCGAGACCCTCTTGAGGACATTGTCAAGGAACAGACGGCGGGCGTGCTCGTGCACAATCCGCACGGTGGACGCGGTGGACGCGGTGGACGCGGAGCTCACGATCCGCCCGTCCACAACGTCCACGACGTCCTTGGAGGCTGGGTTGCTCCAAAAATGTCGCAGGAGAGTCCGACCATTTCGCAGCAAGCGAAATGCGCAGTCCTTTATGGACATGATTCACTCTCCTGGTTTCTGTTGCGTCGATCTTGCCTACGGCGACCTTGACATTCTTCCCTTTGCTGCACTTTTCCACGCCTCGGAACAGGGCGACATTAAGTACACCGGCCGAAAACCTTTGTACTTTTTTCCCGTCCTCCCCCGCTGCTTTTTCTTGCACGTCGCAGATGCTCACATGTGATCACGAACGAAAATAACTACCAATCGACAACAGACAGCCTTTCAGTAAAGCCTGGGACGTCCCCACCGAAAAAGTGCGATCCGTTGATGGGGCGAAGCTGCCTCAATTTTTAAGCGTGATTAAGATCTCACTAAAATTTAAAAAACACGTTCTTAATTAATCAGCCAAAAAGTCGAAACTGAACGAAAACAAACACAAACAGTGAAAAAGGAGAGGTTAACCCTTTTTGTTTTTCGGAAGGCTGTAAATAAAGCTGGGAGTAGGCAACCTCTGAAATATTAAGGGCAGTCTTGTTCTTTGTTCATGAAGACGATTTCAGACTGGAAATACGACCTGATTCAACCTGAGTCTTAAAATTTATCCAATAAATTCATTATCCTGAAAGAAAAAGAAGACAGCAACCTATATTTAATATACGACCCTTGACAAGTTTTGTCATCCTAGGTTGTCATGTCGTCTGCTAGGTTTCTTTTGTTGTTCTGCGGAGGGGAAGGGGAGGGGGGCACTGCACAAGATGGTGGCAGTGATGTTCAAGGTTTATTTTGTTGATATTGTATTTGTGCCCTTATCCGTGGCAGGTTATTTTCTGTCATGATTAGTTTCATCCCGCGACTGCCTTCTTTATGACCTTATGCTCCTTTTAACTTAGCATTCTGGACTTATGGCTGTGTTTGAAAAGAAAGTTCAATTACGAAGCCTGCTTGACGATACTGATGTGTTGACATGTACAGTCGAGAGCTCCCAGAACATACAGGGCCACACTGTAAGTACGGCCCATTCAATTTGCTCAGAAATGACAGTTTTTGATAAATATATCCTGTTTGCCACTGAGCAGCAGGAACCTCGTTGTAACCCTTTAAATTAAAAACCTTGGTTTCTACATTGTGTACCACTAAAACAGTAAAACACACTACCATTGTTTACATTTGTAATATGTTGTATGAATTGTTCTGCCATTCCGTTTCCACTTTTATTATCTGTTGAGACCCAAACCAAATACTTCTTATCAATCTTCTTCTTTCTTGTAGGAATATGCCATTCGAATTCAGCGAGAGACCCATCCAGAAAAATGCTGGCATATAAAAAAGCGTTACAGAGACTTCGCAACTCTAAATGGCCTTCTCTCTTTGTCTGGAATAACTTTACCATTGCCTCCTAAAAGACTTATTGGCAATATGGAGCCGCTTTTTGTTGCGGAGCGTCAACTAGGACTCCAGGTATGTTTGCAGAATTAATGCCTTATCGTTCCTTTCCCAAAAGGATACGGTCACATCACCACTTCCAGAATTTTCTAATTTTTATTTTCTGTTTACTTTTCAGAAATATTTAAATTTTATTTTGGCAAATCCATTTTTGTCCGCTTCATTTCCTGTCAGGCATTTTCTTGATCCAGACAATTATTCTTCTTCTTTGCAAGGTTATTATTTTATCTAATTCTCTTAATTATTTTGACATAGGTTGCTGTATTTTGTGTCGGAGAAAAGATTGATTTTAATATTATGTTGTTGTGTTTTTTTTCTAGAAACTGCTCTCCATTCTGTGTCGCTTGCTCTTAGGGGTGAACCTTCATGGGAAGTTTTGCGGGCACTTCCAGAGCTAGGGTGGCGCATCAGAAAACATTACTTTGCCATTAAAAAACACATTCCAAATCAAGATGATCAAGAACTTCTTCTTAGTTGGACTGAATATGGTCCAGACATGAATGTTGCTACTTCACAGCTGCAATCTGTTTTATCAGTTCTCTCAACTGTTCAGGTTTGTGCAACAAAATAGGCATCTCCTGGTTTTATTTTAAATTAAATTGTCTTATTTATTTCTTTGCTATTCTACAGGCGCCCTTTGCAATTAACATAGAGCTTTCCCGATGTAATGAAATTGGTTGCCTAGTTGTTAGAAGGATAATCGAGAAGGGGTCTCTTCGTGACATGATTTGTGGCAGTAAGCTGCGGACTCCATTTTTGCGAAAATATGGATGTCCCAAACAAACTTTTCCTATCAGTGGCAGGGAACTAGTCTCTTTCTCTCATCAAATTTTGCAAATCTTAGCCGTGCTTCACCAGAAAAATATCCCATTTGGTAAACACAAATACGTGATTCAAATCATATCAGTTCTTATTTATTCAATTGAATGAATTGTCTTATTGATCTTACTTTCACTATTTTAGGTCAACTACATGCTGGTAATGTTTGCATTGACAATGGACGTGCCCTACTGCTAGATATTGAGGGTGGGCTTTTTGGTCTACCCAGCTTCTATAGACCATTTGTAATTCAACATCGTCGAATTGACACTATTCAATCTGTTGATATGTATTCCTATGGACATCTTTTGTATGAAATGGCCTTTGGCCGTCCTTTGGAAACATCAACTGTTGACTCATTTCCAACTTCATGTCCACCAACTTTAGGTAAGAATTATCTTTCTATTCAAATTTTCTCGCCCTTTTATTTTAAGTTTGGTATCAGCCTATTTGTTCAATTATTCCAGCTGACCTATTGGAGCGGCTTTTGTCACCACGATCTCTGCGGGAGGCCCTGCCAACTGCCCAGCAACTACTTCAACATGAGTTTTTCATAGGGCTGAATGCTGAGGATATCCAAACTCGGCAACTATTCAAGTTGTCAGGCCAAATGAAGGAAACTTTAAAAATTATAACATGTAAAATTGAAGAAAGATTAAGACATGACCAAAAAATCGTAAGAAATGTGATATGAATTTTGAGCTAAGAGCCGTTAATCCCATTTAATCCACCATCATTTTTGTCTTTAGGTTCATCACCAACGTCGCCTTGCTAGGGTTCAAGAAATGCTCAGTTCAGAAGAAGAAAGGAAAAGAAGAAATAAGAAATGGGTAAGGCACCAGTTTTGAAAGCTACCTCAGTTCAATTTAAATGGAAGAATATTTTATTAATTCAGACTTTGTTTTTTTATTCCTCTACAGAAACAAAAGGAAAAAGAAAGACAGCAGCAGCAACACCAACAAATGACGAATGGCAAATCTCCTGAACGCTCAGACAGCCCAGCCAGTACGAGCACAGCTACTTCTGCAGGGACTGTGACGCCACCTTACAGTAATTTAATCCCCAATCTCGGTCTTATTTGAATCATCTGAAATATTTCTATACTGTTTACACAAAATTTAACACTTGCGCATTGTGATTGCAGGTCGAAGTGATAGTCAGCCAGCTACTCCAGCACCAGCTCTGCCTCAGAACCCAGTGCAGTCCCCAGACTCAGCACCACCTCCTCCACCACCTCCATCAACACTTCCTTCGCCCTCAGTTGCCCCTGAGAGGTCTGCACTGCTCAGCTCCATCTCAGGCTTTAATAAATCCAACCTACGTCGTGTTGCTAGTTCTAGGTAACACCCTTCCAAGTTTAGTGAAATGAAGTTGTGAGAAGCCCTTGATAGGGAAGCAAGTTTTTACTGTGCCTTTGTACCTGACCATGTTTGTTGGAAATGGATTGATTATTGATTCCTGTTGAGATCCCTCTTTGGTTTATGGAAAGCCACTGTAGTTATCGGCATTCCAGCTTTCTCCCTTTTTGGAATCCCAATGGCCCTGAATTGTCATAACCATTGGATATTTTTGTAAATATTTTCCTTTACACGTGCCACTGTGTCACTGTGTCACTCTCAAAATTGGCTCTAGCTTTTACTTTTATTCTGTGTTGACTTATATGCTGATAACTACTGGTTATTTGTGAACCTCTTATTGGTGCTGCTGGAAAAGGGTTCAGAAACAGATTTTGTGATAAAGATTGCCATCTTGTTATTTGGATGTGAAGCTAGCTTTTGACCTCCTATTTTGAGTTGTCATTTATTTTATTTTCAGAATGTTTTGGTAGTTTATTTTTCTTTTGTTGTGTCTTGTTATTTCATGTGTGGGAAAATGTCTCCTCCAAGATGTATTCACTCTTTGTAAGCCAATTGAAGATATACAACTTTTGAGGGCATTTCATTTATGTGCCGCAAATATTTGACAAATCTCATTGTCCCATCCATGTTTTGCTGTCTGATTCTGAAACTGTTACATACTCCTACAGATGTTTATGGTCTAGTGGATAGTAGTTTATCAGGTGTTGCAATATATGTAGATCTGCATGAATATCTAAAATCAAAATGCTAATTGTAGTAATAATACCACTCTTTTATGTCTAGTCAGTAAAATGTTTAGACTGATTGGTTTATATGTAAGAGACCAGAGCTTGCCCAGACATTGTTACACCATCATATCAGATTTCAGTAGTCAATTTTCTAATAACTGGGCATCTAATGTGCCAAAAATATAGTAGATGTTACTGCATTTTTATAGATATGTTTTCTATTTTTGGTTTTGTTTGAAGCTCAAACTACTTTTGAAATATGAAAGGAGCTGCATGATGTGATACCACTAGTCAAATTGGTACACACCCCTACAAAATGAATCTTCCCCAAGCCTGTATGCATTTTTGTCAGTTTTGGGCTTTTAAAAATAGTAACCATTTCTCTACAGTTAATTCTAAAACTGAGCAAATCTGGGTTGTTGACAGTATTCTGAAAATAATTATAATGTTTTATATTGATGTATGATGTATGAATATATTTTGTTACTGCTACTACTTTTGCCATAGGCTTGATAAAATCTTTGATATCATTTTTGTAATGAAATGTACATGGAAATCGCACTAGAGACGGTGTTGTGACACATGTACTTGCTTACTGTTCATTAATAAGAATTAAAAGCACAAACTGCAAACGTGTGCTGTTTTTTTCTCAATTATTTTTTTTATTGAGGGAGCGACGGGACAGAGTCGTAAAACTGGGTTGACCGGGCCGGCTGCCGCTTGGGCTGCCGGCGGCCGGCACCGGGGCGGTGGAGGAGTGCCACCGCGCACCGCGTCCACCCCGACCTGCCGTGCCACGCCCTGCCACGCCACGCCCTGCCGCGGCGACGTGGTGGACGGTCAGGAATAGCTGGCTAAATCTAGAGAGTGTGGGCAAGCCGGGCAAGCAGTCCCTCCCTCTCGAGTGCTACCCCTCGCGTCTTGAGGCGGTGCCGGCCCCGGCCCGGCCCCGGCCGGCGGGGAAACACTGCTCACTCATTCCGAGCGGGAGGCCTCTCTCTCGCACTCACGGGGCGTCCCGCATGCGTCCCGCATGGGTGGGAGAGGGGCCGACAGCATCCCCCGGTCGGAAGCAGGCAGCTGGGCCCCTCTGGGCGCCCCTCTGGGCCGCACGGCGGGTGGATGCACTGCCGGCACTGCTGCAATCTCCTCGCTTAGACGCCGCTAGAGACTCCGAGTCGCGTCGAGGAGGGCCGCGCCGGCGGCCGGGCCCAGGGATGTGCTGGGTACTACTGCGCGCAGCACACTGATTCCGAGAGTCGTTTTCGTCGCTCTGTCCTCGCACCTACACGGCACGCCCCATGAGTGCGAGAGAGACAGAGCGACGAAAACGACTCTCGGAATCAGTCTGCAGCTCACTGTGCGGTTGAAAAGTGGTGTGAATCCCCGTGCCGGGGTTAGGGCGAGTGCGATGTCGAAGGCTGCAGTTGTGGTGACTGGGGTGGAGGGCGGACCGGGCCGGGCGCCGCGCGCTCGCCCGCCCCTCGCACTGCCTGTAAACTTTTATTTATAAACGCGGCCAAAGCTTTGGCCTAATGAGAGCTTTGGCCGGGAACAACGGGGACGCTCAGTACCGGCGGCGACGCGGCGACGCGGCGCCCGGGGAAACAGGCACACCGGGAACACCAAATAAATGAAACAACGAAAACAAAGGACGCTTCTTTTTCTGAGAAAGATATATTACAAAATTACATTCAAGAACATTTCTATTCAGAGGTCGTTATTGAACCACAGAGAGCAAGAAGAAAATAAAAGACTTGAACCTGCTCTCCAGCAATGACTACATGTTAAAAGCACATGGAATTATGAGTTTGGGGAGCACTGCCCTGGTTTCCACTCCTTGACTGTCGAGTCCTGCAGGATCACATTTTGTGGTTGCGCCAACCGCTGGGCGGCTGGGACGTCCACGCAAGGCAATTTCATGTCTCTGTCCTTGTCTCTCTTTGCCGATGAGTGTGAGAGAGGCAGAGACGGTACGTAATACGTGGACGAACGCTTGGATGGCAACGCCCGATGAAGCAGACTCGAACAGTCGTTCCAGCTTCTAGTACTCATCGACACGTGACAAAGAAAACACCGGCACCAAATAATAGAAAACATTCCAGCACGCACGCAGGCACGCGCACACACACGCAGTGCGCGCGGGTCTTAACAAAAATTCCTTACAAAATATCGAAGAACAGAGTCACATCAGAGAAACGTACCTAGCGTACATCATCAGTCACATTTTTTCAAGAAATAGGATAGAAGGTCTGTGAAGCTAGCCGTGCGGCACGGCGTCCGTTCCTGAGAGAGTGAGAGTCAGGTGACGCGCCTTTGGGCGCAGGGCCATGCAGGCACAGGCCTAGAGACTCAGAGGCCTAGAGCCTAGAGGCCTAGAACCGAGAGGCCTAGAACCTAGAGGCCTAGAGCCTTGAGACCTAGAGCCCAGGGGCCTACAGCCTAGAGGCCTAGAACCGAGGGGCCTAGAACCGAGAGGCCTAGAACCGAGAGGCCTAGAGCCTTGAGACCTAGAGCCCAGGGGCCTACAGCCTAGAGGCCTAGAACCGAGGGGCCTAGAACCGAGAGGCCTAGAACCGAGAGGCCTAGAGCCTTGAGACCTAGAGCCCAGGGGCCTACAGCCTAGAGGCCTAGAACCGAGGGGCCTAGAACCGAGAGGCCTAGAGCCTTGAGACCTAGAGCCCAGGGGCCTAGAGGTCTAGAGGTCTAGATCCTGGTTGGCCCCTGCAGACTGATTCCGAGAGTCGTCATCGTCCCTCTGTCTCTCTCGCACTCATGGGGCGTCCCGTGCACTGCAAGAGAGACAGAGGGACGAAAATGACTCTCGGGGTCACTCTGCTGCGCGCTGCCCGGCGCCGCCCTTGGCCCCTGTGGAACCGGGGCTAGGCAAACCCGCTGCACAGCGGAGCGCGGCGGGCGGGCCCGCCAGCCCCGTGTTACCATTACCATTAAGGGCTAGACCACACATGATCGTATGCCATTCCGTGTTAGCCCCGTGTTAGTCCGGGGAGGCGGCGGAAAACGTCACCAAGCTCGTTTCAAAACAAGCACAAGCCAAGAGTAGTGACTATCGCAGGCGACGGGGACTTTGAAGTACAGAAGAAGAGAAGCACGGTTTGTTATCGAGAAGAAGAAACTATTTCCCAATCCGCTTTAGCCAGAAAGGCACGGACAGAAGTGAGAGGTGCGGTTACACACACTTTCTTTTACAGTAGACCCTGTACGCCCGAGCCCGGATCTGTCAGTCGCTGCATCAGGATGGCCCAGACTGGCGAACAGGGCAGTCGACAAGACTGGCCAGATGAAGCCCTAGAATATAACATCACAAACACAGTTCCACACAGCGCACCGTCACGCACACAGACACTCTGTCACACACACTCACACAGACACTCGCGACGTTGTACTTGGGGCACGCGCGTAGCCGTAGTACTCGCGGCCTGGACGGGGCTGGTTCAAGGTGCTGGACACCAGAGCCCGGACTTTTGGCCAAGTCGACTGACTGGAGCGCGCCGCCGACTGACGGCTCAGTCGCGTCCGTCAGTCGACTTAGCCGAAAGTCCCAACACTGGGAATCGTTCAGCCGGCCGCTGGACTCGGCCATGCTGGACTCGGCCCAGAGCCCTGCCCTGTGGGGCCGTGGCCGCGCCCCCCGGGGCCCTGCCTCACGCCGTGCCTCACGCCGTGCCACACAGGCCCCCGAGGGGTGGAGGGGCGGGGGCCCGGCGCCCCCGGGAGCAGAGAGGCGCCGAGGGCCGCCGCCGTGGGAAGTCTATCGGCACACCGACGCGGCCGCGGTCACTTGGACGTCATCATGGTGACGAACTCCTCGTAGTTGATGTGGCCGTCGCCGTCGATGTCGGCCTCGCGGATCATCTCGTCCACCTCCTCGTCCGTCAGCTTCTCGCCCAGGTTGGTCATGACGTGGCGCAGCTCCGTCGAGGAGATGAAGCCGTTGCCGTCCTTGTCGAAGACGCGGAACGCCTCGCGGATCTCCTCCTCGCTGTCCGTGTCCTTCATCTTGTGGGCCATCATGGTCAGGAACTCGGGGAAGTCGATGGTGCCTGCGGGCAGTCAACAAAGTCAACATCAGGGAGTTTTCTCGGAGGGAAATGGGGGAATGCAGTAGACCAGGGTGCTGTAGATGCTGTCCACGTCCTCGCCACTGACGTGCAGCCCGGTGCAGCCCCAAGCCAGCCAGCGGCAGAAAAAGGCCCGAAAAATTCGGCTTGGCCGCGTGCTTGCATTTGTGCTCCGCCCTTGCACAACGCCACAACGCGGTGCAGCAGGCTGCTTTCGCGGCACTTCATCGCCCTGCCTCTGTCGCACCCCCACGGCGCGCCCCTCGAGTGCGAGAGAGCCGCGGAATGAGCCTGCTGCTGCATTCCTGAGGGGGCGACGCCGTAAAACGGGTACGGCAGCGGGACTCCCAGGAATCCCGCGCGAATCTCGAGGGCGTTCCGCCGCGCGCCGCGCCCTGCCGCGCCCTGCACTGCTTTTCTCGCTGTCTCTCTCGCACCCTTGCGGGAAGCCCCATGAGTGCGAGAGAGACAGAGCGACGAGAGCTGTGCCGCCCTGCAAATGGGCAGCGCACCGCCCTTGGCTCCCTTGGCTGCCTTGGTGGCGGGGACAACGCGGGCAGGCAGGGCATGCGGGGGAGGGGGGCAAAGAACCGCCAGAATTGCCCGAGAATTGCCCCGCCAGCGCGCACAACAACAGCACCCTTGGCGGGGGCGGCCAGTGTGGGGCGCGGACTTGGCAAGCAGAGGACGGGGAGCAGCGGCATGACGGGGCCGGCGAGCACCGCGGCCCGCTTTGCGACAATGTGTGCGAGGCGCCGCTGGCGCCGCGCGGGGATGCACAAGACCCTCGCCCTCGTGCACGGCCTGTGGCTGCCTGTGGCTGCCTGCGGCTGGCTGAGCACCGAGTGGCGCAACCCCGCGACGCCGCCGCCCCGGCCGCCACTTCGTCTCTCCTTGTCTTTCTCAAAGACTCGGGTGCACGAAAGTCGAAACCGGCCCTCGGTTATTCGCCAGCTGAGCGATTCCGAAGAGTCGTTTCGTCGCTCTGTCTCTCTCGCACTCATGGGGCACTCCGTAAGGGTGCTAGAGAGACAGAGCGACAAAGCGATCTTCTGAATCACTCGCCAGGACCGCGGTCTTCGACGTGTCGTGTTTCTTCGGGGCGCGGCAGGCCACCGGCTCAGCCACGGGTGTACAAGGTGCGACCAGGTGCGTACCATGGCACCATGGGCGTGCCAGGGGCGCCAGTGGCGTACCAGTGGCGCACCAGTGGCAAGCCAGGGGCGTCCCGGGGGCGTACCGGCGTACCAGTGGCGTGCCAGGGGCGTGCCAGGGGCGTACCGGGGGCGTACAGGGGGCGTACTAGTGGTGTGCCAGTGGCGTGCTAGTGGCGTACCAGTGGCGAACCAGTGGCGTACCAGTGGCGTACCAGTGGCGTACCAGTGGCGTACCAGGGGCGAACCAGTGGCGAACCAGTGGCGTACCAGTGGCGTACCAGTGGCGTACCAGTGGCGTACCAGTGGCGTACCAGGGGCGAACCAGTGGCGAACCAGTGGCGTACCAGGGGCGTGCCAGCGGCTCCGCGTGAGTCACATGATGATTGTGAAGCGCGCACCGCTTGGCGACGGCCCAGGGGCCAGGCCCAGGGGCCCAACAGCCTCCCGGCCCGGCAGCCCCGCGCCACTCTGAAAGCGGTGTATCATCGCGGCCGTGGCTCTCCCGCTTCCATGGAAGACGACGCGTGACGACGCGGGGCACGCGAGCATCACCCCGTCATGCTCCAAGTCCGAGTGCGGAGTGCGGACGGCCCTTGCGGGTCCTTGCGGTCTTATTGGCCTCCTACTCTCGTACTGCTCAGTGCCCGCGGCCACGCCACCCCGCTGTTGTTGTGTTTGTTTACGCGGCTCACCGATCGCACCCTGCCCCGCCAGCCCCGCCTGCCCCGCCAGCCCCGCCAGCCCCGCCAGCCCCGCCTGCCCCGCCAGCCCCGCCAGCCCCGCCAGCCCCGCCTGCCCCGCCAGCCCGCCAGCCCCGCCAGCCCGCCAGCCGCCAGCCCCGCCAGCCCCGCCAGCCCCGCCAGCCCCGCCAGCCCCGCCAGCCCCGCCAGCCCCGCCAGCCCCGCCAGCCCCGCCAGCCCCGCCAGCCCCGCCAGCCCCGCCAGCCCCGCCAGCCCCGCCAGCCCCGCCAGCCCCGCCAGCCCCGCCAGCCCCGCCAGCCCCGCCAGCCCCGCCAGCCCCGCCAGCCCCGCCAGCCCCGCCAGCCCCGCCAGCCCCGCCAGCCCCGCCAGCCACCGCCAGCCCCGCCAGCCCCGCCAGCCCCGCCAGCCCCGCCAGCCCCGCCAGCCCCGCCAGCCCCGCCAGCCCCGCCAGCCCCGCCAGCCCCGCCAGCCCCGCCAGCCCCGCCAGCCCCGCCAGCCCCGCCAGCCCCGCCAGCCCGCCAGCCCCGCCAGCCCCGCCAGCCCCGCCAGCCCCGCCAGCCCCGCCAGCCCCGCCAGCCCCGCCAGCCCCGCCAGCCCCGCCAGCCCCGCCAGCCCCGCCAGCCCCGCCAGCCCCGCCAGCCCCGCCAGCCCCGCCAGCCCCGCCAGCCCCGCCAGCCCCGCCAGCCCCGCCAGCCCACGCCAGCCCCGCCAGCCCCGCCAGCCCCGCCAGCCCCGCCAGCCCCGCCAGCCCCGCCAGCCCCGCCAGCCCCGCCAGCCCCGCCAGCCCCGCCAGCCCCGCCAGCCCCGCCAGCCCCGCCAGCCCCGCCAGCCCCGCCAGCCCCGCCAGCCCCGCCAGCCCCGCCAGCCCCGCCAGCCCCGCCAGCCCCGCCAGCCCCGCCAGCCACGCCAGCTTTCGATGGAACCCCCGGTGCCGGATGCCTCGGCCACGGCGCCGGTGTACAAACATGTGCCTCGCCTCCGCGGTGGTCCCTGCAGACTGATTCCGAGAGTCGTTTTCGTCGCCCTGCGTGCGCAGTGCGCAGGGCCCATACGGGACGCCCCATGAGTGCGAGAGAGGCAGAGCGACGACAACGCGTCTCGGAATCAGTCTGCTCATGGACCGCGACGACAATGCCTCCCTTTCCCACTCCCCGTCGTCCGGGGCGCAGGGGCGCAGCTCGGCGTCGACAGCTGCGGGCCATGTGTCGCCGCGCCTTGGCCGCGCCTTGGCCTCGCCCAGGGTCCTGGGGGCAGGACAGTCCACGATCGCAAAAACAGGAGCGGCGTCTGCTTAAGGCCGGCACAGTAGACAGATTCCGAGAGCCGCGTTCGTCGCTCTGTTTCTCTCGCACTCATAGGCGTCCCCTGTGGGTGCGATGGAGACGACGAAAACGACTCTCCGAATCCGTCTGCAGTCGGAGCAGTCTCCAAGGCGTCAAGTCACGTCGTGCCGTCGATCCCACCCCCACCCCTTGCAGTGCCGGCACCGCAGCACCGCCACATACGCGCTGGATGGACGGTGGCGACCGCAGACGCCGTCCTTAATTGAAGCCGCGCCGCGCCGCGCCGTGCCTCGCCGGCGAAAACAGGCCTGATCCAGCTGGCTGGGCGGGGCACGGCACGCCACGGCACGGCGGCCCCGCAGGATTAATTTCCTTCTCCCCTCCATTATTTCTATGACATCACCTCTACCTGGCGAAGGGCGCGGCGGCGCGGCGCTGACCTGTGGTGGGGGAGGGGGGGGGGGACGCGACGTCCGGTCCCCCAGGACGGTGTGTGCGTGAGCGTGTGTGTGCGTGCGTAGGTCGCGTACCCTGGAGACTTTGGACAGTCGAGGCGGCCTGAGACTAGGGCGAGGACTAGGGTCACAGTGGCGCGGCGGAGGTCGGACGGAGACATGGACAGCCGTCGGGGCAGAAGAAACACGGCGGCTTGATAACCCGGCGTGGCCGTGAGTCCGCGACGGCGCACGGCGCGACGGCCGCTCGAACGGCGAGGTGGTTGACTGGGTCCTAGCTGAATATCCCATGGGCCTACTGTCTTATTCATGGCCACCCGGTCACCCTTTGCTTTGGGGAGCCCCGACACCTCCAGGGCGGCGCGCACGCTTACCGCTGCCGTCCGCGTCCACCTCGTTGATCATGTCCTGCAGCTCGGCCTCGGTGGGGTTCTGGCCGAGCGACCGCATCACGGTGCCTAACTCCTTGGTGGTGATGGAACCGGAGCCGTCCTTGTCGAAGAGCGTGAAGGCCTCCTTGAACTCGGCGATCTGCTCCTCCGTCAGCTGGTCCGCCATGGCTGCCTCGCTGCCCGGTTGTCGCTCTGCTGTCCGTCAGTCTTTCAGTGGCGCGCGAGGTTCACGCTCACATCCCACACTGTCACTAGCACTTTCACGTCCACCAGGGCGTCGTCGCGGTCCTCGCGGTCCTCGCGGTGCGCAAGGGGCTCCGCGCCGCGGGGTCGGCACGTCGTCGTCGGCACGTCGGCGTCGTCGTCGCGGCGCTGGCGTCTCGGCACGGCGCGTCGCGGACTGGCGGCCTGGCGGCGCGGCGCGGCGGGGTTCGGCTGGCGCTTCGGCGGCGACGTGGGCCCTGCAGCGTAGCTGGCGTTGCTGGCGTAGCGAGGCGGCTTCGGGGCGGGGCGTCGCGGCGCGCCCTCAGCGGGGGGCTCTGTGGACTCGACTCGGCTCGGCCGGCCTGGCTGGCTGGTTGGGCCGGGCCCTAGCTCTGGGGGCTCGGGGCGACAGGCGGGGCGAAGCGGGGCGGGGCGGGGCGGGGCGGGGCGGGGCGGGGCGGACGGGGCACACTGCCCTACCCCGGCCGCGCATCTCTCCGCCGCGCCGGTACGCCCCCCGCCCTTCCACCACCGCGACGGCCTCGGATCTGACACGGTTTTTACATGCAGAAAAAGAAAAAGCCAACAGGGCCACGCGGGTCTTGGTCGCGAGGACGCGATGGGCGGTTCAACACGTGCACCTGCTGCTCGGCCTGCCGGGGCGCCTCGTTCGCAGAGCCGGTATTTGCTAGATTGGTTTGCGCAAGGGCGGCCCGGCGCGGCCCGGGTGGGTAGCTGGGGGTGGCGGCGCGCCGTGGCGTGGGGCGTTAGGGTGCCCACCACTGGTGGAGCGGGGAGCAGCCCGGAGTGGGTGTTGTCCGGTGCGCCTCCCCACGATACCCACCTGTTGGCGGCGCCCCGGTGCCCCGGTGCCCCCGCCATGGCACCGCGCCTTGTTGCTGCCCGCCCCGCCCCGCCCCGCCCCACCTGACGGGGTGAGGCGTTAGCGGAACACGGCTGCGGTTCTTTGGAATGGCGCGACGCGTGACTCACGCATCGGCACGCGGCTTCGCCGGGCTTCGCCGGCTTCCCTGAATCGGCGCCGTCACCGCGCCGCCATCGCGACCACCGCCGCCCCGGCGGACGGCGCCCGGCGTTCCCCGGCGACGTGTCCGACCGGCCTTGCCGCTTGTCGCGCAATCCACCGTAACTTTCGCCGGCGGTGCGATCAGGGACCCGCGGCCCCCCGCCCGCCACCCCCGCCGCCTGGCCCCGCCCCTGTAGACGGCACAGGCAAGCCGGCACGCCGCCGGCAGCATCATTTGACTAAAATAAACTCGCGGTGCGCGGGGGTGGGGGGCGGGGGTGGTCCGCGGCGGGGCCCTTTCTAGCGTCCTCTAGGCGGCGACGCCGACGGCACGCCGACGGCGCCCCACCGGACCTGCCGAACGGCCGGCGGCGGCGGCGGCGCACCTGAAAGGAGAAGGAGAAGGAGGGCCGCTCCGCCGCTCAGGGTGCTCATGCAGCCCAAAGGCAGATGCGCCGGATATTGGCTTTGACATTGATTGGGTGGGGTTGAGCCGGGCCGTGCCGAGGCCTGATGAAACTGTGCGGCGGGCCAGGCCGGCCAGACGGCGGCGCGGCGGGGCGGGGGCTGAAGGCCCGATCACACTAGGCGGTCTGGGCGCACGCCGCGGATGCAGCGACTGTCCATTCACATTCACACCGGCATTCGCCAAGCATTCGCCAGGCATTCGCCAGCACGTGCCTTCCGCCGGCGAATAGCGCGGCAGCGCGGCCAGAGGCCCTCTAATGTCAGCGCCGCCCTCCCCGTCCCCCTCCTCCCTGCCGAGCGACGCGGCGATTGCAGCCCGCCGCCAAGCCAAACGACCGTGCGTTCAAATCTCGCGAGCCGATCCACCCGTTCAAATCTTTTCAAGTTTTTCGTGCGCCGGTGGTCGCTGTGGCGGGGCGGGGCGGGGCAGGGCGTGGCGGCGGCGGCGGGGCGTGCCGGGGCGGCCCGGGCCACGCGACTCCCATGTCGATGATCGATTGACTCGAACACGACGCCCAGCCATTCATCGTGCGAGTGGCGCCGTGGCGCGGTGCGTCGGGGAGGACGCCGTGGAGGACGCCGTGGAGGACGCCGTGGAGGACGCCGTGGAGGACGCCGTGGAGGACACCGTGGAGGACGCCGTGGAGGACGCCGTGGAGGACGCCGTGGAGGACGCCGTGGAGGACGCCGTGGGGGACGCCGTGGAGGACACCGTGGAGGACGCCCGGAAGGATCCCATAGAAGAGACCACAACAAAGGAAACAGGACTACTATTCTATTGGATAATTCATTGACATGAAATATAAAATAAATGCAAAATAAATAGTTTGCGGTCCTCGGGATTGGAACAACCCTAATCCATATTTCACTGAGCCGACTCTCCTCCCATGTCTCTGTGTGACAGTGTCACTCCAAAGAGTGACTCCAGACGGAGGGTCGCGACGACACCGTGACCCGGCCGGCCCGGCCGCCGTTGACACGGGCCCGGTCCGCACGTCCGCACGGACACGGACTAGACGCATCGCCTGGTTAAACCTTCGAGGCTTCGTGCCACTTCGTGCGCGCTGCGCCGTTTCTTCGATCGTCCAGCGCGGCCAGCGCGGCCAGCTGGGCCGGCGGGCTCATGCCGTAGAGTCGCCTCGTCGCTCTGTCTCCGTCCCACTTACGAGGCGGCCCGTAGGGCGCCTTGGGGGCGCGAGAGAGACAGGGCGACGAAAAGCGACCCGTCGCGATCGCTCGGCAGGGCCGGTCCGTCAGCAGGGCAGGGCAAGGGGGGCGCTTCCTGGTGGCCACTGCCAGCCCCGCCCCGCCCCGCCCCGCCCCGCCCCGCCCCGCCCTGCCCCGCCCCGCCCCGCCCCGCCCTGCCCCGCCCCGCTTCGCCTCCGCCACCTCCAAGTCGACTTTGAACCGGCGCTCGATACGATAAGCCGATTTGACACTTTCAGGCATATCGAGCCTCCCCGCACCGCACCGCACCGCGCGGGGCCGCGGAGGCCAGTGTCCCTCCAGCGCGGTTAAGTTGCGGCTAAATTTATTTCCAGACGTCGGCCAGGTGCTCCGCAGTGCTCTGCCTGAGCCCCTTTGCGGCACCGCACCGACCGCGCCGACGCGGCCCTGACGCCCTGCCTGACGTCTGTTTGTGTTTCGGCAGCCTCGCCGCTCCGCCGCTCGTCCGAGTCGGCCTGCGGCTGCCTGTGGCCCAGCAGACTGATTCCGAGAGTCGTTTTCGTCACTCTGTCTCTATCGCATTCATGGGGCTTCCCGTATGGGTGTGAGAGAGACAGGGCGACGAAAACCACTCTTGGAATCTCTCCGCTTGCCGCTTTGATTTGCTGTGGCCGCAACTGACAGTGGCTTCCACCCTGTCGGAAAAGCTGCAAAAGTAAACTGAAGTGGTCCAGGCAGCGGCTGGGATGGACGTAATCGGGTCTGTGACACGGCGGCTTGTGCTTGAGTTCCCCGCCGAAGCCCAATACCAGATTCCAAGCTTCCCAGCTTGGAGTAGCGGCGATTGATCGCAAGGCTTACAACTCTGGAATTATTGAGGCATGTCGCCGTCGCCCCGCCGCCCCTTGGACTTCCCCGGCGGCGCGGGGTATCGCCGGTGAGGCGGCCGTCGGCGCCGCCCGCGCCCTCTGCAGTGCCGTGCAGTCCCGGGACGCCGCGGGACGCCGGCCAGAGTCCCTGGGCCGAGGGGCATCGACGCGACGCGACGCGCGCGGCGCCGAGCCGAGCCGCCCGGCGCTCTACGCGCGGCGGGTGACACCGAGCGGCGCGGCCGGGCTGCTCCTCTTAAATTTAGCACCTCTATGCGTCACGGAGGAGCGGTATCAACCTGGGCCGCGCCTCGAGGTGAGGGACCCCGTCGCACAGTGGGCCAGAAGACCGGCGGAGGCGGTCAAGATCCCGGACGCGTTTTGAGCTTCAGAGTCGCTAAACAGAACTCGAACCGAACGTGTGACCCCACCAATGGATTCCAAGTTCGGAGAGCAATCCATTGGTGGGGTCATACGTTCGGCGCGAGTCCCATTTCGCGACTCTGGAGCTCAAAACGCGTCTCGAGTTTTGGCCGCCTCCACCGGTCTTCTGGCCCACTGTGCGCGGGACGCCTGCTCCAGCCGGTCCAGCTGGCGGCGGCCGAGGAGTGCGTGTCGACCAACAGGCTCCCTGCGACTCTTTATTGGCGCTCCCGATTGCGGCGTGATGGGCGATAAAAACGGCCCGTTTGACGGCGTCTCGTGATGGGACGCCGTCAAGCTGGCCGTGGAGCACGCCGTCAAGCACGCCGCGATGGCGCGCGCCGTTACAGGCCCGCTTAGTTCCGTCTTCTTGGGGATGTTCCATCAGCATTAGAACGAGCGCGGCTGTTACGCCTCTGTTACGGCGGACATTTATACCCGCGGGCACTCCACGCCACTCCGCCGCACCGCCGGGAACTAGCAGTTCCTGAAACGACACCTTCGCCGCCTTCGCCACGGCTGCAGCACACAATGGAGGGCTAAGAATAGGTGGCTTGGCCGCCGGGCCGGTCCCGCCTTCCATAAGGGCCGCGGTCCGGGGCCAGGCACGCCAAAGAGAGCGGCAAGGGGAACCACAGGGATTTTAATCAAATAAACCGAAGCCCTTTGGGGAAAAATGGCCCGGTTTGTGACTGCAGCGCACCGGGTCGCGCCGACGCCTCAGCCTCAGCACGCAAATTAGACCCTACTTGGCACGCGCGAAACCAGGGGGAGATAATTCAAAGCGACTGCTGCTTCTTGCTCAAGGTGTTGTTGGCGACGCGGAGGGAGGGAGGGAGGAGACCCCCGCTGCTGCCTGGCCGTCCTCTCGCCCGGTCCCGTCAGGCTTCGCAGCAACGCCAGTCGACTCATTCCGAGAGTCGTCCTCGTCGCTCTGTCCCTCTCGCACCTGTGCGACACGCCGTGGGAGTGCGTGAGAGACAGAGCGACGAGAGCGACTCTCGGAATGAGTCTGCAGACACCGCGAGGCAGCCAGGGGTACCAACATAGAGCAACTCGGCCATGCCCAGTGACGTCACGTGGGAAGGCTCTCGGATCGTAGACGACAAATGGACCGCGGCCACTAAAACCGAGGAAAAAGCGGCGAAAATACAATGAAGCAACGAAATCGCGTGCCAGAGACGGAGGAAAAAGGGGGGGGCGGAGCAAGATGCAGACAAACTCGCTGATTGCACCCCGGCTTTATTCTGACTTTGTTCCGCGTCTGTAAAAAAAAATATAAAAATAAAAAATTGATCCCCGATATTTAATCTCGTCTCGACTCAGGTCAAAGCCCTCGCCGACCCCGCGCGGCTCGACCGCCGTCTCCGTCTCCCTCGACGCCGCCGTCGGCGGAGAGTGAGAGAGAGAAAGAGAGACACTGCCTGGGGCGGCTTCGAGTTGCCGTCCGGAGGGTGCGACGCGACGCGGCGCGACGCGGCCTCTGTAACCAATCTGACATTACGATGAGAAATTGCCGCGCCGTGTTTGCCAAGTGCGAAATTAGCCCGTGCGGCGCACAGTGGGCCAGAAGACCAGTGGAGGCGGCCAAAACCCTAGATGCGTTTTGAGCTCCAGAGTCGCTAAACAGGACTCGAACCGAACGTGTGACCCCACCAATGGATTGCTCTTCGAACGAGGAATCCATTGGTGGGGTCACACGTTCGGTTCGAGTCCCATTCAGCGATTCTGGAGCTCAAAACGCGTCTAGAGTTTTGGCCGCCTCCACCGGTCGTCTGGCCCACTGTGCGGCGCCGCGCCGCTTCCTGCTTCTCCTTCTTTCTCTTCGCCGCCCTGCCCCGCCTTGCCCGCCTTGCCCGCCGCTGTTGTTCTATCGCGACCGGCGGCCCATTTATTTTCGGCTCGTTCCTCAAAGGAGGATCGCTACGGTTTTTCCTCCTCGTTATCCCCGGCGATTTTCGAGCGTCGCCAGCACACTGATTCCGAGCGTCGTTTTCGTCGCTCTCGCACTCACGGGCGTCGCCGAGAGGTGCGAGAGAGACAGAATCGGTCTACAGCAGCACCCCACCCCGCCCAGGGCAAGGTGCAGGCAGCACTGCCAGAGCGGCCAGGGCGGCGGGACGGGGCGGTCCCGTCTAGCCACAACACGGTGGGGAACCAGCCGGGCCATGCAGAAGTGCGGTTTGTAGCTCTGTCTCTCTCGCACCCGCACTCAGAGCTCCACGAGTGCGACAGAGACAGAGCGACGAAACGACTCTCTTCTGAATCGCCCGGCAGGACGCCGCGTTGCAGCGTTGCAAGGGCGGGAAGTGTGGCGAGGCTAGTTTGATTTGCCCCGCACTGTACCCGCAGGCCCCGCGACGAGACTGGTTCCGAGAGTCCTTTTCGCCGCTCTGTCTCTCTCGCACTCATGGGGCGTCCCGTGTAGGTGCGAGAGAGACAGAGCGACGAAAGCGACGTCATATTCGCGTCACCGTGACGAAACGCTGGCGAGGGCAGCAGGGCGGCCAGTGATAAGGTGCCAACAGAGGGCTGCTCCCGAACGGCGTCTCTCTCCCTCTCTCGCAACCGAACGCGACGCCCCGTGAGTGCGAGAGAGACGGACGACGGCATTGTTCGGAAGCAGCCTGAGGCCCGAGCCTCGGCCCGAGCTGCCGCTTCGGAACGCCGCCGCAACGCCGCGCCGACCGCGCCGCTCACGGCCAACGACAACACGAACATGATGGGCTAGACCAGGAACGGCCGTCTGCCTCTGCCGATTCAGGCCCGTCCCGCAGGGCCCGGCAGGGACGCAGACCAATTCCCAGCGGCGTTTTTCCTCTCTCTGTCTCTCTCGCACTGACAGGGCGTCCCCTCATTGGTGCGAGAGAGACAGAGGGACGAAAACGCCTCTCGGAATGAGTCTCCAGGCCGCGCCAATGTCCACAAAAGCGGCACACAGTGGGCCAGAAGACCGGTGGAGGCGGCCAAAACCCTAGACGCGTTTTGAGCTCCAGAGTCGCTAAATGGAACTCGAACCGAACGTGTGACCCCACCAATGGATTGCTCTCCGAACGAGGAATCCATTGGTGGGGTCACACGTTCGGTTCGAGTCCCATTTAGCGACCTTAGAGCTCAAAACGCGTCTAGAGTTTTGGCCGCCTCCACCGGTCTTCCGGCCCACTGTGCGACGGCCGGCCGGAGCGAGGCGCCTGCGAGGTAGGCAGTGCGGGGACAGCGCGGCGCGGCGGGTCGGCCTATCCCGAGCTGGACGGGCGCGCCGGGAGTCGTCGCGGTCTCGCCGCGAAGAGCGTCAACGCGACAGAGTCCCATCTGCAGTGACTCGTTAGCGGCTGGAGTCGGAAAAGTTCTGCAGGGTGGCTCACATTTGTTACAGAAGTTAGACTTATGGTTTTCATTAAATTTTACATTTTTATCGCCTTTTTCATTTTTCAGAATATTCAGGATTAATATGATTCAGCACCCTCTGCTTGCCTGGGGATTGCAGCGGTGCCATTCCGCTTTCGTTATTCACTCTCTCCGAATCGCCCCTTCCAATCAGTGCAGGCCGAATGCCTACTAAAAATAAGAATCCATTCCCGAGTCGACGAAGGTGCGCCGCGCGCGGCGGCATGTGCGCCACGCAAATGAAAATACTTAATGCAGGTGAGCCAGGTGGAGGGCCGACACGCTAGCCGCGCGGGGTATGTGGCCCCGCGGGGGGGGGGGGGGGGGGGGGAGAGAAAGCGCGCGCGACAAGCGAGTGGCCAGTGAGGCGGGCCGTGCCGGCCAGACGAGCTGGCAGCCCTGGCAGGCGTGCGGGCAGGCAGGCAGCAGGCTCATGTAGTAAATAAAGTGGCGCTGTGACATTTGCAAAACGTGGGTTTATTTTCGCAGGCCCGGGGTGCGGGGTGGGGGGGTTGGCGGGCCCCACGGGGTCCACGGCGCGGCGGGCGGGGCGGTCGGTGTGGGGGGACGCTGGGCCCCGCGGCGCGGTGGCTGGTCCGCCCGGTCTGGCGCTAGCTCCGCGGGCGCGGGCTGCGCGGGCTGCGCTAGCTTGGCGGCGTCTTCGCGTTGCAGTGGCCGGCCGCTCACCAGTGACGCCAGTTCGACATGGTGCGCGGCGCGCCAGTCGCCCCGTCGCGTGCGTGAGAGCGTGCGCGTGACAGCGAGAGCGTGACAGCCAGTGCGTGACAGCGTGACGGCGCGAGCGTGATGGCGGAGGCGCTGTCCAAGGAGCAGACGGCCGAGCTGCGCGAGGCCTTCAACCTGTTCGACAAGGACCACTCCGGCTCCATCACCAACAAGGAGCTGGGCTACGTGATGCGGTCCCTGGGCCAGAACCCCACCGAGTCGGAGCTGCAGGACATGATCAACGAGGTGGACGTGGACGGGTCCGGAACCATCGACTTCAGCGAGTTCCTGGCCATGATGGCCAAGAAGATGGGCAGCGGCGACACGGAGGAGGACATCCGCGAGGCGTTCCGCGTCTTCGACAAGGACGGCAACGGCTACATCACGGCCACCGAGCTGCGCATCGCCATGACCAACCTGGGCGAGAAGCTCACGCACTCCGAGGTGGACGAGATGATCGCCGAGGCGGACAGGGACGGCGACGGCCTCATCAGCTTCGAGGAGTTCGTCACCATGATGTCGCCCAAGTGACCCTGGCCGGCCTGGCCCCCGCCGGGGGCTTAGGTCTGCCTTCTATACCGGCCCGGCCCGCGAGGGCGGACGGACCGGCTTGTCCCTGGGGACGCCGTCGTCGCCGTGGCCGCGGCCACCTTCCACCTTCGGACTGTTGTTGTTGGCGGCGGCGTGCGGTGCGCGGGGTGGGCGGCGCAACAAGTGTCCAGCGCGGGGCCGCGGGGCCGCCGACCACGCGCCGCGCCGAGTACGTCGCGGACCTCGGCGCGCACCGTGCGACAACGGGCAAGGCAAGCAAGGCGAGCAAGGCGCCCCCCGCGGCGAGCGCGGCGCCAATCGGCTTGGTCGCCATCCAAGCGGCCATCCAAGCCGCCATCCAAGACGCCGACGGTGCCAGGACCTCGGCTGGGCAGGGCCCGCGACCAGCGGCGCGACCCGCGACGCCCGGCGACGCCCCACGCCCCGCACAAGGCCCGCCTTGAGGCCGCACCAGCTCGGAGATGAGGCAGGGTAGCGCCTCGCTGGATTCAGTGTGTTTTGTATGTGTATGAGTGTGAGAGTGTGTGTGAATATGTGTGTGTGTGCACACGCGCGTATTCGAGCGTATGTGAGCGTATGTGTGCGTGTGTGTGTGTTCGCACCACGGCGTGTGGAGCAGATGCGCTTTCAAAACCGAGGGGAATGCAATCACCTGCTAGTCGAGTCACTCTCTATCCGTATCAGAATGCGTATAATAGCAGCAAAATAGCCAAAGTTCTCGGAAGTTTTGCTATTTTTTGTATGTTGCAGTTTGCTTTTCCCCAGCCAGAGATACCGATAATTTTGAGGCACAGCAGAGCGTCGCTCAAAACCTTACAAACTATTTCAGGCCTTCAACAAAGAAAAGAGTTTGTCGTTACAAAGTGTTTTGAGCATACATAAGCTAAAGAGTGTACTTCGTAATTTAAGAACTGATTCCTCCTAAAACAAAGAAGTTTGTACCTCACGTGTGCCCAAAATACTTCATAATGTATCAAGCGTGTGGGCAAAAGTAAAGCTCTGCACACAAAAAATGTCGGTCAAAAAAGGAACAACCCCGCAGCCCGCAGTCCACTTGTGCTTACTTTCCTTTTTACAAGCGTTACTGTTGATACAAATTTTCCCGCGCGAAGTGGTCTGCGGGACAAGGCAAGGCGCGCCCTGAAATGAAATCCCCCTCCCCCTTTCCCCTCGGCTGTTTGCACTTGGCGATAACCGTTTTATTGTGACATCCATTTGCCTCAGAGGCCAGTTCATTTTGCGCCCGGCCGGCCCGTTCTGGCCGTTCCGTGTCGAGCTGGAAATTTAATTACCGTCGCCGCGAAAATAAATTATGAATTGCCGACAGTGTAGGCCCAGCCTCGCGCCCTGGCGGTGGCCCTGCTCGCGGCCCTCGCCACCGAGGCCCTCTCGCGGCGTGCGGTCTCGGGGAATCTAATTGGCTCGGGAGTGACAGGCGGCAAAACAACTCCCGGGGGAGGCAGTGTTATTACATTCGCGTTTAGGTGCGCGGCAACTGTGACCCACAAGCGTGCCTGTGTGTGTGTGTAGGTGTGTGTGTGTGTGTGTGTGTGTGTACGTGTGTGTGTGTGTGTGCAGAGGGAAGTCCCAGATGGCCGAGACAACATTTCTTTTGCGGCGCGTCTATTAATCATGATGAAACGCTCCTCCCTTATTTCTGGCCTTCTTTCGTTGTCCCTAAAGGACGGCCTAAGGATGGCGCGCCGAGTGAAACCAATCCCACACGCACGGCCGCACGCACGCTGCCGAAAGAATGTTTGGCTTGGATCAAGGCGCGAGTGTTCCTAATTCCTCCTTGGAAGCCTCGCTTCGGTTCGGCGGTTCGGGGTTCGGCGGTTCGGCGGTTCGGGGTTCGGGGTTCGAGGTTCGGGGTCAAGGCGGGAAGGGCCGCCCTCAATCAGAGTGCGCTTTGTCTCCCATCGCCCGAAGGCTATGACGTCAGCCCCCTTGTAAACAGAGCGGCGTAAATGGCGGCGTGTCTCTGTGGGGCCGAGGCCGAAGTGTGTGTGAGTGCATGTGTGAGTGTGTGTGTGTGAGTGTGTGAGTGTGTGAGTGTGTGTGTGTGTGTGTGTATGGGTGGGTGGAAGGCGCGAGAATTTTCCCCGCCGAAGGCTTGGAATACTAATTTCCTGCTATCTCTCCGCGTTGGTCGCTGTTTTGTTTTTCTATGCGAAAATAATTATGGCTGCTGCAACGAAAGAACAAAAAAAATATCACGTAGATGGCGAGGTGATGTCGCTTTTGTAATCCTAGATGTCTTTATTCCATTTATCCTTGGGTGTTATCGAAGTAAATGTCTCACATAAGTAACATTCCTTCCATGTTTAACAAAAGAAGGCGTCGGCATTGGTCTTGTCGATTTGTCTTACTTGTAAAAGCATCGCGAGGTTTGCCGCCAAGTCTCCGCTAACTTAGGTGTGTTTACAACCCTCCCCGAGCAGATGTTGTAAGAAGTAGAGTTCCCCCACTATTACCATGGAATACGTGTATATTTGTTTAATTTTATTCTTCTAAAAATAATGTCGCGAGAACGCGCGATCTGCCTGTGATATTCTTCTCTAGTGATTGCCATTCTGTCGAGGCTTCTTTTGTGATTTTTTGTTGGTGATTGTAAATTGAATCGGATCACCTTCGGGTGGCTGTGCTCGCTACAACGTGTGTCTAGATGTAACCCGGCCAGCTTATTTTTAGGAATGTTTGTACCATTGTCGGTACAGATCACCAGACGCTCACGCGACATGCATGCATCTGCGTTCCTGTCTGCACATTATTATCTTTGTATGAAGTAAGTGGTTCCTATTTGTTTAGTTATTTAATTGTGAAACTGTTATCAAGCTCAGCACAATGGAATCTGTGTACAAAGAGCGGCATGGTACGAAGTACCATTTAGTCGAGTCCAATTTATTGTTGTAATTTATTTGAAAATACGTAATTAAGTATTTTTGGCGCATATTAATAAAAGTAGACGTGCCTTTTATTCTGTGTTGTTTGATTTACCAACGACTCTTCCACACGCATGTTCTTTTTGCTTCTTTTTTTTTCATTTTTCGTCTCGAGGATTTGTGATGCCCATCTCGCACCGGGAAGGACGGGCGGAGGTGCGTAAAGGCGATTCAGACTGGTGGGCTGTATTTTCTCTCCGCGGCCCAGAATGTGGCAGCCTGTGAGGACAATACTGACGCCACTGACTTACGGCGCGGCCGAGAGAGTTGCCACTTTCCGCGGGCAGCCCCGGCAGCGCCGCTCAAAACCAAGTATTTATTTGCCCGCTCCCCTCGCTCGCTGCCAAATGATGTTGCTTCCGAATCCACGCGCACACTGTAAGAAAAAAGTACGGGAAAAGTACGGAACATGTGTCGTCAATAATTTGCCTGGAACGTCCGTACTTGCCAATTACGGAACGTTCCGTACTTTTTTTCCGTACCCATTTGCATGGGTTCATATGGAGCAAGTACGGAACGTTCCGTACTTTTCTCCGTACCTCCGTACTAGATTTTTCTGTACCATTTCCGTACAAAAGTACGGAATTTTTTACAGTGCAGGCCGAAAGCCTGTCTGCTTCTCTTAAAGCAAGACGCCTCGCCAGTAATCGGAGCTGGAGTCGTTTCGCCGAGAGGATGTTTTCCGCTTTCCAAGCAAGTTCCACCGGTGAGTGAGAAGCCGGCTCAGGCGGGGTGCTTTTGGCTCATGTTCACACACCCACCCACACAGTCACACACACGCACAGGGCGAACCTGCATCCCATTGCGAGCTCGGCCGCGCCAACACGCCGTATTTTCCTCTCGGGTGTAAACACGCGCAGCTAAACACACTCGTGCACTTCGAGGCGCAACGCGCGGGGGCTGGAGAGGGAGTGCGTGGGTGTTCAAAAAGGGGAAAAGGGGAGGAGAGAAGAGAGAAGGAGAGAGAGAGGGGAGAGAGGAGAGAGAGGAGAGAGAGAGAGAGGAGAGAGAGAAAGAGAGGAGAGAGAAAGGTTATTTGGTTGCAGCGTCGTTGATGGCGCCCCACGCGGTGTCGCGTGCGTAGGTGAGCGAGTGTGTTGGTGTGAGTGTCGTCTGACTGCACGGGCCAAACCTGCAGAAATAGCTCTGGCGCTGGCGGTGTCCACCACAGCACCGCCATGGCCGCCACCGCAGCGCGATTCCGCCACCGCCACCCTGCAGGAGCGACACGCACGACGGCCGTTCACCCTGCAGACTGATTCCGAGAGTCATCTTCGTCGCTCTGTCTCTCTCGCACTCATGGGGCGTCCCGTGTAGGAGCGAGAGAGACAGAGCGACGAAAACGACTCTCGGAATCAGTCTGGCCCACCCCGCCCCGCCGCCACGCACCTGGACCAACTTCGCGCTCGCCGCGCTATTTCGGAGGCGCGACGCAGGGCCGCGATATTTACATACCAATTGAACTTGGTCCCCGCCGGTGCCTTTGAAGCGAGGATTTACACCGACAGCTGGCCCCGCAGCCAGGAGCGCAGGTTCGCACCCACCTGCCGGACAAAAACAGCAAGCAAGACCCAAGAGAGAGAGAGAGAGAGAGGGAGGGAGAGAGAGAGAGAGAGAGAGAGAGAGAGAGAGAGAGAGAGAGAGAGAGAGAGAGAGAGAGAGAGAGAGAGAGAGAGAGAGAGAGAGAGAGAGAGAGAGAGAGAGAGAAGACAGGGCACTGGTCCATTGTCCCTTATGATTCAGATCGTTCTTTCTGCCGAGCGATCCCGACATAGTCGCTCTGCCTCTCTCGCGCACGTCCGAGACGCTTCACGAGTGCGACAGAGACGGAGCGGCGATACGCCTCCCCGGTCAAGGTGGCTAGCGAGGATTAATTGCGGGCCGGCGATGTTGGCAGCCGTGATGGGATTAGCGCGGCGCTCTGCACCACGCCGTCGTCCCTCACGACCGCGGGCATGGCCTCCGGCACGGCGGCAGCGGACCCATTCCGAGAGTCGTCTTCGTCGCTCTCTCTCTCTCGCACCTATACGGGCCGCCGCATGGGTGCGAGAGAGACAGAGCGACGAAAACGACTCTCGGAATCAGTCTGCAGGCCGGGCGGCTGCTCCACCCTTCTTGCAGGGCTTGCCGCTCAGACCGGCAATCCGGGATGAGCCCCTCGGTCCCCACGCCCCGCTCGCCCCGCGCCCCTA